AACAGACAGAAAAACTAAAATATATGAAATTCAAAATATTTTTATTTTAAATTTGTAACAAAAAATGTAACAAGTATATCCAAATATTTAGAATGTTGTTAGTCGGAAACAGTTTTCTCATAAATAATTAACTTTTTAAACAGTTAATTGTTAAAATATAAAGCTACTAAATATGAACTGAATATTCTAATTTTATTTTTAAGAGACTATATATTCACTAGTGAATATGTACAGTACCATACATACACATCATCTTTCACTTTCACTGTAACATATATAACAAGAGCACAATTTTTTTTAACAGACAATTTATTAACAGAGGTTTAACATCTTTAAAATTTTTGTGAGATTTATTGCATAAAATGGATTATATAAAAACTGTGTTCATAAATTCTAGATGATGTGCTGGAAATTAATGGTAGCCAAATGGATTCCCTCAGAAATGCATCAAAGGTGTTGGATGTTTTTACATTTTTTTTTGTTGATTTTAAATCTCTGTTTATAAATTTCAAACTATAAAAGATGCATGTTCGCAAAAACAGAGGAACAAGATTTTTGCATAACATATCACACGATCTTGGCATCGAAAATGAGTGATTTATTTTCTCTCTGAAGTAGACCTGGCATGTATTCGTTTGTTTCAAATTCTTCTAAAAAAATGTTTTCACATTTTTGAATAAAATTGCAAAAAACCCCTCATATTTTATAACCTGAATATTTATTTCATCCCATAGTTTATGAAAACTGTACTATGCAGTTTGGAAATGTTTGTAAATCATTCTGCCAATTCTAGTGTCTGCTACAAAGTCACACATGTACAGATTAACTTAGAGGACAGACTGTTACAATCACATGAAACTACTTGTCAGCTATACTATGCTAGCACTCCGCATTTACTCGTGCACTTCAGTGCAAGTGTTATGTAGTTTTAGGAAGGTGCAGGCCCCATACCCCCTAAAACTGTTTTACCGGGTTGGGGCCTGCACCTTCCTAAAACTACATAACATCAAGTACTCCATGAACAGTCAAGTGGGCTACTCAGGCCAGCCAAGTTGCATGGACTAAATAGTTAAATGCAAGTCTTAGCAACACTACACAACTCCCAACCGTGTGTGGCCTAGAAGTAGACTGATTTCGGGGCAGTCTCTATCTCACAAAGAGTAACAAATAGAAGTATGGTTCCTTTGACTTTTTTGCTCGTACAGATATGGTCTATGGCTCCGATAAGATCCCAACCATCTCATTCCAAGGTGTAATTGTATCAATTGGGTAATACTTCTCAAAGACTGTATTTAACACAAACCTTTTCTTTCTACATCATCATCTTCCTTCTAATGCAAATAAAAAATAGCAAGCTCCATACTTCAATCATGGCGGAGAAATGACGATGGTGAACACAGTACATCTTTTGTTATAAAATAAAATAATCAATATTACGCCTCAATAATAATCTTAGAAAAATTAATTTAATGTGATATTTACGTATATCTTACCAGATAAAGGCGAACGAATATCTTTTTCTCGTACGTACTTCGTAAATACAGACTGAGGCGATTCATCTGTCACCGTTCTAGCTTCCATTTTCTTTTAAAAATAATTTTTTTAAAATTTATACAGAAACTTTAATCTCAAAATAGTAACCTTTCGTTTAAAGGGCCAATAGTAAACAAATATCTAAAGCCATAATATAGGAAATTGAATCATGTTTACACAACATAAACATTCAAAATGTTACACGTGACTTCCGTTTCAGGGTTGCCAATTCATTTACGAATAGAATTTTTAAAATAAATAATCAAAATAATTATACGGGTGGATGTGCGTAGGTCATATGTAAATGCTACGTCATTTTAAGGGATCAAATAATATATAACATATTAATAATAATAAACATTTATTAAAAATTGTAATTGTTTAGTCTGTGATCGCTCGACGCCATTTTGAATTTTCCTGTATCTAATTCTGAAAGTAATTAATGTTAATGATTTATAATTTGAAGAAAATCAATTGTGACGAATTAAATATAGCGATATTCCTTTTCTTGTTTCATTTGACTTCAATGTCAGCAAGCTGTTCGGGTCACGAAAATCTCTCGTACGCTACATGTATTTCCCATAATCCTGTTTTCTTTATCTAAAAACGATAAAGAAAACAGGATTATATTGAGAAATCGTACCTTTAAACCCCTGGAAACGAAGAAAAGTTGGAATTTCCTCAGAAATCTTTTCTCCAACATGGTGACCGACAATACAATACACAATTCGGAATCATTTGTGTAGATTGCGTCACAGCTATTGCATCGCCAATCGCGTGTATTGTTAGTTCGAGCTGTATTATTAAAGATTCCCGTAATCTGATATTTCCTAAATTTAGATCTCAATCACAGAACCTGTTTATATTATTTAGTATATTCTTTAGAATCAAAACTTTGTATTTGCTACGGTAAGAGGCTTTAATTATTTGTATCATTTCTCCTTTCAATCCGCAATGTAGTCGAGTAGATTTTTGAATCAGCACCGAGCATGCGCACAGAGTAGAACTAGTACATTGACNTAGGGGGTTGGGGCCTGCACCTTCCTAAAACTACATAATATCAAGTACTCCACAAACAGTCAAGTGGCTACTGAAGCCAGCCAAGTTGCATGGGCTAAATAGTTAAATGCAAGTCTTAGCAGCACTACACAACTCCCAATCGCATGTGACCTGGAAGTAGACTGATTTCGGGCACTTTATCTCACAAAGGGTAACACATAGAAGTATGGTTCCTTTAACTTTTTTGCTCGTACAGATATGGTCTATGACTCCGATAAGATCCCAACCATCTCATTCCAAGATGTAATTGTATCAATTGGGTAATACTTCTCAAAGACTGTATTTAACACAAACCTTTTCATTTTACATCATCATCTGAGTTATACTTTGTATCATTTCTCCTTTCAATCCGCAATGTAGTCGAGTAGATTTTTGAATCAGCACCGAGCATGCGCACAGAGTAGAACTAGTACATTGACCGATTCCTTTCACTCGTTCGACTTTACGAACGCATCTTTTGTTCGATTGACGATGTCGCCATCTAGTAGTCTACATTAAAACTTTTTTCATTTAAAAAAAAATATTTCAAGAGGAAATTTTTACATGTATTTTAGAGAAATTTACTATTTAAAACAACTATTATGAATTGGTAAAATATTTCCATATAAAACTATTGGTTGTTTATATATTTATACTTAGGAATTATTTATATGAAAATTATAGATACTTATTTTTCTAGAAAGTAATGTCTGTGCAGTTATAAATTATTTAATAATTTTTAATGATTTTAACTAGAGACAGAAAGAAAGAAAATTTACTTCCTTTAATGCTAAATCTAATTTAAAATTAATGAAAAAAACTTTATACAGAAAAACTTAAATTTTATTTAATTTGGTACACTTTTATTCTTGAAATTACAATTTATTATTTAAAATGCAACAATTTATTTAGAAAATGAGCTTCAACTCTGATTAAATGATTAAGAAAGAATATATGAAGTATTGGAGTTTTAAAAAGAATGTGTTAAGAAGTGTTAAATTTGTTGGACCAGTTTAAAGTACTGGTTATAATTAAAAAGATGGAGAGGAGTTTGGATCTTGTAACTCAATCTCCGCAGCATGACATAGGCGACTGCTGTTTCTCGTGACAATAAAGGTTTGTGGATAATGTTTAAAATTCTAATTTCTATCCCCCATTGTAATTTGACAGGCATGGATCTCGGCAATTTGATTAACTAAAAATTCCATTCAAATTAACAAATTTAACATACCATTTAAGACCGAGCGGCATTCTCTACATCTGCAGAGAATGGTTAGAAATAATTCTTTATTTACATGACGACGATGACAATTCTAAAAATTACAGGAATGGATTTATAAAATGTAATTTATTCAAAAAAAGAAGTGATGAAATAACAGTTTAAAATTTATTTTTTTTTTATATAATTCCTTAAACAGTATTTTACAATAATCTCATTTTTTCATATATTTAAATATATGATCTAACTTCGTTAATTTAATTCAATTAAAAGAAAGAGAAAATAAAGAATATAACTGCCATTGGATATATTTTATATTTTGGATCATTCTTCCTTAAACATATTTATTCTAACAATACAAAGATAATTATTCCTAAACATAACATATTATTTATAATACATTTTTTAAATTCATTTAACAGTAACGTAGACCGAAAAATAAATTAAAACCAACATTTAAATTCTACTGTACAGAAAACTCCGTGTACAAAATTGATTTTTCATTATGGGCCAAACAGTTCCTGAATAAGAGTGGAAAAAAAAAATGAAAAATGTGTTTGAGATGGATAAGATACCTTTGTAGCACCTCTTTCCGCTTGCGTAACGCCAACCCATCAACTCTCCTCTATCATTACACTGTTTACTTTGTCCAGCATATTTTTTGCATATTCCGTTCTTTCTTACGACGAATGGTGCATTATTTAAAATAAATTAATGGTAAAAATTGTTAAAAAGAATAATCTAAAAAAAAAAAAAAAAAAAATAATAATAAACACAATTTAATAATGCATTACTTTAAAAACACCTCCAATGTTCCTTTATATACTAGGGAGAATATATGATGCATAGTTTATTTTTTTAAATGTATTCATGGATTTATAAATAATTGGACAGTTTACGGGTTTGAAATGAGTATCGATACAATTATTCCACAATTAATGATGTAATCTTGTCCGCCATAATTTATATATTCCCTTGGATACAGCGGAACATTGGATGCCGAAGCACAGGCACTGATCATGCTACCTCAAAGAACACATTTAACGATTATTAAATTTCATCTAAGTTTTTAAACAATCTCTCGTATCTATACAAAAAAAGTCGGAGGAAATAATTCCTCTAAAAACTAAATCGCTAAAGACCGTAATGGCCCACTTAGATGATAAATTTGTATTATACAATTATAGTTTTAATCTACAAACAACAAAATGCTTGAATTTGTAACATATGATGGAATATATATATATACTTTTTTTCTGAAAGGATGGCATCATCATCTGGAAAAGTCACCAGAAGGATAAAATGAAAGGCCTCGTGTATAATACAGATATATTATCTTTTATATCCATCAATGTATAACTTCAAACATTTTCCAGCTTCTTTCTCCAGTTTTGCATTCACCTATCGCATCACACGTGATGTTTTCTTTTGCAGTCCAACCTTTTAGATTTTTTCACTGGATGTGTACATAATTTACAGTGTGGATCTCTAAGAATTTACACTAGTAGGAAAAAATAAATAAAAGAAAGGAAGAAAAGGAAAGAAGGAAATAACATATAATTTGACATAAAAAACAATAATAATAATAATAAAAGTCACATGGGAATAAGCCGACACAACAGAACAGAATATTTGCCGTGAAGAAGAAACAGAAGTGCCATAAACACAAGTAACGTGATCAGAATTTGAAGCTAATTAATGAAACATCTCTCCATCACTGTAGTAATCACATCAGACGTTTTCAATCTGTAGAAGCAACTGAAAATAGAAGTCAAAACAAAACTACAAATCAGTCAGATACACAAAACAAAATATCAGTGCCCAGCCAAGGAACAGGGAAATAAAAATTCATGCACAAGGAGGAGGCTAAAAAAAACTTAAGCAGAGTTGACTTGGCAGGAAAGTACATCATTATTAAACAATAAGAAACCAGTGCCAGAAGCTAATTTAGTCGGATTTTGGGACTTTAATTAGAGGAAATTATAAACTGGGCACTTTTATAAAACATATAAACATAATATATGAAAACAAAAATAAAATAAAACAAGATATTTATTAGGCACTCCAATTTAAAAAAAAAAAAATAATATAATAATAATAATATAGTAATAATAGTAAATAAACTAAAAGAAATTATGTATCACAGATTTACTTCTAAAACAACTAAAAATATTTTGTTAGTGGAGATAATAAAAGAGCCAGCTTTCTATTTTATGTTACAGCTAAAAACTTTTTTTATACATGTCAAATATTATGCATTTACAAATTATGGCCAGGTAAAGAAATTTTTATATACCTGGATACGAGGAACATTTTCATCATGCACCAATGGATAGAGTGATATTAAGCAGCTGTGAAAAAAAATGATATATAATCATGCATTCAACAAAGTTTAATGTTTGCATGTGCATATATATACATATAAATCCTAATTTTTGAATTGCTGAATTTAATAACTAGAGCAAAAATTAAAAAAGCAGATACTCAAATTATTTGTTAATCTAATCTAATGTACTTACTAAAGTGTGCAAAATAAAAACAAAATTGATTTTTTTAAATTTAAATAGTGCAAATCATGCATTAAAACACTGCATAATCACAATTTATGTAACGAAATAGTCTGTATTTTCAAAATAATAGAGCATTTTACTTAAAAAATATTTAAATCATAATAAAAAAATGAATTTAAAGTATATTTAAACATTTAGAATCTTAAAAAAATGTGATCGTTATATATTGGTTATGCAGTGTAACAAACACCATTCCATATCAAATGATTAATTAATGTCATGCTACTTAAAATGCCAAATTACACTAGGAAACATGTTAAATATTATTTATTCAACTTTGATAATAATGCTGTCCTTTATTTTTATATATATATATTTATTTATTTATGTATGTATGTATAATAACAGGATATCTGTTATCTTTGATTGGCTGCCCAGGTGACCATGCAGATATGAAATCACACACCAAGAAGAAAAATTAAATATGGTGATGCTTCAAATAATTAAAGGAAAAACTCTTTCTTTGAGGTTTTTCTGTTACAGTGACACAAAAGGAGAAAGATTAAAATGAATGACAGGAAAGCAGGCGATAAGGTTACGAGAGGTTAAAATTTACACAAATCAATTAACGGGCATACATTAAAGCATTCGGACATTCACAATTCCAGTTAAATTTTAAAGATTCTAATAAGAAATGGGTTTTTGCATCAAGTATTGTCAGAATACATCCAGAATTATATCATTAATTAATAGATCAGGAGGTATATAATCTTGTAGGCAGGATGGAATCTTGTCCTAGAAACTTTCAAAGGAGGTGAGCAATGTCAATATTACAACAGTCAGGTTATTTAAATTTTTTTTTAGTCAAGTCAAACCAAATATGCAACTCAAACAATTTTATCTTGATTGTGAGATTACAAAAAGCATTCATTGTGCAATATTTTGGGCCATAAATGCATGTTATACTACAGTTCTGAATTATTTAATTAAATATGTTTATATATAAAGTTTAGTTACAATTCTCATACTGAATCATATGAAAAAAATAAATAAATGCTCTTGCATGAAAGATGTAAAATATATGGAGGAAAATACATAAAAAATCTGTCTTAAGTACAGTTTTTTTTTTGACAAAAAAAATTTACATGCTGAAAGTTAATTCAAAAAATATAAATATATTAAAAAATCAATATTTGAACATAAAATTTTTTAGTGAAAAATTAAAATTCAAAAACATTTAAAATTGACAAGAAAAAAAAAGATGTTTAAATGAAACTTTTTAAGACAAATATTTAATTAATACATGACAGAGTGAAGGTTAAAAATTAAGGAGCAAAAAATGCAAGTTACAATAAATATATGGCCCAAGAACAGAACATTCTTTAGTTCTTTTTCTTATAAAATGCACAGATTCTCTCACACTTCATCCAAGATGCATATCAATATACTATCTACAACCTGAGGATTGACTTTGGACAGCTATGGGAATTGACTATCACAGGCAGTTTTAAATTGGGGAATACATTATGATAGCAGCATAAATTGCCCATGTAGCTACAATCCAGTGTAGTTCACTGAAAGGACCGCTACCATCAATAAACTTGCGTGCAGCAAATTTCATCGTTTCATCTAATATGACAACAGGTAGAGATATCTTTAAAACAGCAATCCATTCTTCGGCAGATAATGGACACACGGAAAACACAGTCTGGAGGGAAAAAGAAGAAAATTCATTATTATAAATATAAATTTTAAAATTTCTTGTAAAAATATTTTGATTAGTTATAAATAGTTTCATGATAATTTCCAATAAAAATTTTATTTAAAATTTTAGTAGTTTGCATTTCATTTTCAAATGAAAGAAAAGAAAAAGAAAGAAATAAATAAATAAAAGAATTTCAATAATGTTACTTACAGCTAAAATATCCACATAAAGAATGATGAAATGTAATGTCATTGACAATGCAATAGCAGATACTAGCCAACAATTGGTCCAAGGTGGCATTAATATTAAGGATTGATTTTCAGACAAACTAAAAAAAAAAAGAAAATACAATAATTTATTTTGTCATAAAATATACACTTTGAATAATTTTCAATTTAATTTAAATTACCTGTTTAATGCATTTAACATTTCAATTGTTACTAAAACTGATAATGCCATTGTCATTGGGTGAGGATCATTGAAAATACTGCAATCGACACCCTGGAATTTTTCTGGTGAGGTATGGCAAGCTAAATGATGAGTGAGTTGATAATAACTAAAATGAGGTCCATTTGGTGCTATCATAAACCACCATGCTGCAGCACCAACTGTTGCAGCACCCACATAACCTAGAAATATATGTTTTTTGAGTTTATAGATAGTCACTAACTCCAGAATTATATATACAACTATTTAAATTTTATAGCACTTAAAACATTTACCAGTCTATGCTTTTAAAGACAACAACTATAATTTTACAAAAAGTAGTAGTAAATGTTATACAGTGAGTGATCAGTTAATGAACATAATCTGTTCCAAGACTTTGTTCACTATCCGAATTGTTTGTTAACTGATCACCACTGTATTGTTGCACTGATCATAATTTTCAATAAAATAATCTCTCAGAAAATCAAAATACAAAATGATTTTTTTGACATATTATAAAAACTTATTGAGTTTTATTGTTATGTTGTTATATTTATACTATTATTTGTAATCTTAATCAATTTTTAAGCACTTATTGAAATTGTCTTGTATATGAATATTATTACTTTCTGGAGAAAAAAAATTACAGAAACTTAAAATTACTTTAACAAATAATAAGTTTACTTCTAATTTAACATTTTAGAAAATTAAATAATTATTACATAATATTACACTACTGTTTTGCTTTAAATATCAATATGTAATTTTATTTTGTTACTATTACATTAGCCCCTCATTATATTGCACCTCTTTATATATCAGATTCATATATATATAGTGCTTTTTTGTTCCCCCAAATTTTAAAAGCACTTGAGTCAATAAATTTTAAAATATCAATTGCCATTGAATTTCTCCTTGCAACAAAATACAGTTTTTTATTCCTACTATTGTTTTTGAAACTCCTATTACAGGTGAAACAATAAATTTGTAAAGATCTAAATAAGCAAAAGAAGTGGACAGATCAATTATCATTTATGTTACCTTTTGATATTAAAAGTTGTNGAAAAATAAAAGGCTGAAATTACAAGGAAGAGTTTCAAAGTTCAGAGGAATACTATCTGATCAGTATTATACCGGGTTGAGAATCAATGTCGACATCTCTTGTGCTCCGAAAAGTTTCAAATTGTTGCCTGAAGACAAGGGAAGACCAATCGATATTCATTATTTTATGTTGCTTCTTGTGTTTGTTCTGTGAAGTGCTCATCATCCAAACATAAAAATCTTTCGTGAAAGTGTTCATTAGCCGATTTATTTGTAGTCCGAACTGTTTGTTAACTGATCACCACTGTATTGTTGCACTGATCATAATTTTCAATAAAATAATCTCTCAGAAAATCAAAATACAAAATGATTTTTTTGACATATTATAAAAACTTATTGAGTTTTATTGTTATGTTGTTATATTTATACTATTATTTGTAATCTTAATCAATTTTTAAGCACTTATTGAAATTGTCTTGTATATGAATATTATTACTTTCTGGAGAAAAAAAATTACAGAAACTTAAAATTACTTTAACAAATAATAAGTTTACTTCTAATTTAACATTTTAGAAAATTAAATAATTATTACATAATATTACACTACTGTTTTGCTTTAAATATCAATATGTAATTTTATTTTGTTACTATTACATTAGCCCCTCATTATATTGCACCTCTTTATATATCAGAATCATATATATATAGTGCTTTTTTGTTCCCCCAAATTTTAAAAGCACTTGAGTCAATAAATTTTAAAATATCAATTGCCATTGAATTTCTCCTTGCAACGAAATACAGTTTTTTATTCCTACTATTGTTTTTGAAACTCCTATTACAGGTGAAACAATAAATTTGTAAAGATCTAAATAAGCAAAAGAAGTGGACAGATCAATTATCATTTATGTTACCTTTTGATATTAAAAGTTGTGTATTTATTGATTTTAACTACTGTATCTTCATTTACAAGTTTGTGAATTTGAAATTTCACATCTTTATGTGAATTGATGGTATTGTGTCAGTTCACAAAAGAAGTGAAGTTTTGAATTCACAGAGAAATGTGTAAGGAAAAGATTTCTTCATTTCTGAACAGAAATTTCTAAAATTTTTATATAGTAGTAACTTTATTTTGCTTTATAGAGAATTTTTACTCTAATTTTATAAGTTTTGATGTTCTATTGTACATTCAATATTTATTTTTTAAATTTTCAATTACTGTATTTATAATCATTGAAAAATATACATAACATAAATTTTTAATAAGCCACTTATTATGAAATAAAGTACTGTATAATAAAATCTATATTTTGTTTTTATATTAACAGTCATCATCATCAGCTTATTCTACCATTTCAGATCATGGTCTACCCTCCCTTTCATAATCGTCTGCCATTTGTGCTCATGTTTGCCTATCGTTTGCATCTCTCCACCCAGTATTGTATTTAAATGTCATTGTTAAAGAAATAATAATGCTAAATGGGCATTCATGGTATCAATGTTTATGTAAACATCAATTAATATGATATAACCACCAAATAAAATTCAGTATTGCAAAACTAAGCTTATTTTATATCAGAAACACTTGTTGATGAAAGACTATAGGATAGAAATTCCACAGCATGCATAATCTGCTTAATTATAAGCCCAGAATTTTTAGTACTCGTTTATAACACGCTGCTGGATATATTGCACTTTTTCTTTGTCTCCCAACAAGTGCAACATAACAAGGGACTACCATATTTAAAAATTTGTTTACCTCCAATAGCGAGGTAACGGAAAAATAGCCATCCTGAAATCAACGATTCATCTGCTTTTCTTGGAGGACGCTCCATAATGTCCAAATCAGGAGGATTGAATCCTAAGGCTGTTGCTGGCAATCCATCAGTAACCAAGTTTACCCATAATAATTGCACTGGAATTAGAGCTTCTGGGAGACCTAAAGCTGCTGTCAAGAAGATGCTGAAATTGATTTAGGAAAATAATAATCAAATTTTACTTCTTTTATCAACTTTAATTTTTCATTTTTATTAAGGAATAATAATAATAATAACTCACAAAACATAACAATAATAATAATAATAATAATAAATGTTATAGATATTACTTAAGTTTGTGCATAAGTTGATTAATAAATATACAAATATTTTTACAAATTTTTAAATCTCAAAATAATAAAACAAAATATACAGTTGAGTCTGTTTAATAGACAATGGATATAGGAGAACTATTCTAAGGAAGATTTATAAGGATCGATCTTTAATCTTATCATAAATCATCTCCTAGGGCACATGGTGACAGAGTCCTCTATACTATAATATTTGTTGAGATTTGATAACCTTCCATTAGTCAGTTTTCTAATAAATGAACAATCGAAAGATATCATTCAGAATCATAATGAACACACATTGCTTTATTGGATACACAATACGCAATTATATTTTATGATATCTTTTTAATATGTATGTGAACAAACAGCACAGATCATAAATATGTTGTCATCTCAAAGGAATGAGGCAAGAAGTGATTAGCAACTATATTTCGAAGATTACGCGACCTAAATACAAAAATCGAGACCTATAACAAGACGTGTTTGTTGCAGACATTAAAAATTTCTAGTTCCAAGAAGATTGTACCATGTAAACTTTCTAAAATGGTGTGTGTCTCTGTATGGTCTGTTAGTATTATTGTCACTTAAACTAACACAAAAGAAAGTAAAAAAAATTCTACAAGAGGCACAGATCAGATGCCTAAGCTGACCAACTCAACTCTATTGAGAACTGCCGATATATTATGGACACAAAAAATGCAGAGAAGAAATAAACAGTAACTGCAGAAATTGTATTGGAAGAGTTTGAAACCATGTACTTGACTTAAATTACTTACAGAAATTTGTCTGATCTATGCCAAAACACTGTAAACCTGTTAAGGATCACAATCATCCTAGAGTTTTTAGATACCACTCAACATTTATATTATGTTTATATTATGTCTTTCAAGCCTATTTCAATGAATCATAATATGTAATAAATTGTATCTTTTTGGCTTATTCTTACTTCTTTTCGGAACTATATATTACAAATCACAACCATAGCTTAAATATGCTACTTTGTATATCTGTCAAACAGTTTTTGTTATATACTATAGGTAATCCAATTTCCATGAGTACTATTGTATTCTGAAAAAAATTAACCACAGATTTTTCCATTAAGAAAAAATGTTCTTCTATTACACAAATTTCATTACATTTATTTTAATAATAATTAAAACATCCATCAAATTAGCCTTTGCAAATTCTAAATTGATTAACACAATTCAATATTAATTTAAGCAAAAAAAAAAAAACTGACAAAGTTACATTTTATTCTTTTCTTTAGAATTTTTTAAAAAAAATAACTAATTAATTATAAAAATACATTCCTTTATTTCCTAAACTACTTTCTCAATATACCTAAATCTCATTCAGTGTGTATAACTCACCCATTAGTTGTGTAGATTTTATATCAACTCTATTAAAGAATCACTTATTTATGCAATTATAAGAACAAACATTTTCATAAGAAACATGCTTAATACATTAAATCAATTTTAAATTAAAACAAATAAAATAACTTTACCTAACCACTTCGCCAATATTCGATGAGATCAAATAACGAATAAATTGTTTCATATTATTATAAATAGCCCTGCCTTCTTCAACAGCTGCAACGATGGAAGAGAAATTGTCATCTGCTAATACCATTTCAGCTGCTGATTTTGCAACAGCAGTTCCTGATCCCATTGCTATACCAATTTCGGCTTTTTTTAAAGCAGGTGCATCATTTACACCATCACCTGTCTAAAATGAAAAGACAAACATTACTATTTTATCATTGTTAATCCAGGAAATAAATTGCAATAAATAAAAAGACTGAAAATTTTGAAATAATTAAGAATATGTAGATGCGATGTCAATTTTACCATAGCAGATATTTCTCCGTCAGCTTGTAAATATTCGACAATCTTACTCTTATGAGCAGGTTCCACACGAGAAAATAATCGTGCCCTTTGACAAGCAAGTCGCTGCTCACTTGAAGTTAAATCATCAAATTCACGTCCAGAAAATGAGAGACCTTTATTCAAGAAATAATTTAAAAATTAAAGTAATAACTAATAGATATGGTGTCCACATAAACATCTGTCCAGGAGCAAGAGAGATCTTTCCAGCATTGCACGAGTGTATCCATATGGTGCTGCTTGTTCCAGTGCTAAAATAACCAAAAGAAATCAATTTATGATGATTTAGCACAATATACAAATTATCTCCAGTTGAAAAGGACAAAGATAATATGTTCAAATAACTGCCTTCAGTGGCAATACAAATACATAGCTAATCAAGCATGGTGTATGGATAGCATGTAGCAATTGTGGTGTCAATGTTCACAAGCCTCTCATAGTCATCTCTCCAGTTCATCAACAAGAAATGGCACTACAGGGTACACATCATATACCAATGATTTTAGGTAACTCCACAAAAAAAAGTATGGAGGGGTAAAGTCTGGAAATGTGAACCTTTTTCTCTCATCCAGAAGTTGCCAAAGTGCTCTAAAAGCCACTGACATAAGTATGTTTGTGAATAAGCTAATATGCCATTACACTAGTGCCAAATTTGTAGTAGTTGGGCAAAAGGAAAATCATCAAGCCCTTTCTCTGCTATCCTGTTTATGATATTTAGATATCAGTCACTATTCGGAATAATATCAATGAATACAGGACCAAGAGGCTGCTCACCCCAAATTCCACATGTTTAGGATAAAATGCACTTGGTGTCACATGCATTCTGGAGCATTCTCTGTATTAATTGATCATCATGGTATTTTTTTAATTCATTTAATCTTTTGCCACTAGATAGATATTTAAGAATCAGTTATTTTAGCACTAGAACAAGCATGCAAAGTATGCATACACCCATGTAATGCTGGAAAAGATCTATTTTGCCCAGGACAATTTTTAAATGAACACACTGTATGTATAATTATATTAATAAAAGTTATACAGTAGAGTGTTGTTTATCCAAATCAATTGGGGACTGGGGTTGTTTGGAAAATTGATATTTCGGATAACCAATTATGTACGAAAAAATATATTAATCTATCGCATGTTGAAATTTTTCTCCGTCATGTGTTGCTTCGCGTTGAATTTTCGTCGATGTTAAGCCTAACGAAGACTATTGTATCGTTAAAAATTATTTTTTTATTTTGTACAAACAAAATAAATATATTGAAAAATATAAAAACAATAAAAAAATTATACTTCAGAAGTTAATTCAGTATCAAAAATGTAAAATATTTGAGGAGCCCAAGACATAGCCAAAGATTGCAGCACCACAGCACTGGCGAAAATTTAAATTTGCTGACTGGAATTCTTTCGGATAATTGACTTTCAGATAAACAATGCTCTATTGTATATGTAATTTTGATGATAATCTATATTGCTAATTTTTCTTTAATATTTTCAAAATTGGTGTTTGAAGGTTTGTTTGTTTCATTAAAAATCTGAATCTCCCATAAATCTTTTTTTTTTTCAAAACTTGCATAATTTCTTTTAATACTAAGAAATAAAGAAAATGAAATAAAAGTAAAAAAAAAAAAAAAAAAAACATCAAAAAAAAAAAAAACATCAAAAATTATATATATAGTTAAATTAACCTATAGGTATAGTCATGGCAACCAAAAGAGAATTACAGAATTTAATGATGATTTAATATAGTTAAAACTTGATATAAATTTCATTAGATCATAAAAACAATTTTCAGAAAAAAATTCCAAAAAAGAAAATTTTAAAAAGAGATTATAATAGAATTAAGATATTACTTCAAAGATTGAACTGAATTATTATTATTATTATCATTATTTGAAATTTACCTGTAGTATCTTCATTTTCCCCAAAAATACCAATTCTGCGGCAGATAGCTTCTGCAGTAGCCTGTAAAGTATTACAATTATTAAATTTTACTTTACATATTAAACTTTATTTATATTAGTGATGCCACAAATAGTGATTTTGCTAAATATGGAAATACTCGGCTACACTCTCGGCTGAAGCGCCGAATGTTCAGCAAAATATGTGTACATTTCACAGGTGACAGGTTACGACCTATCTCATTGCAGTGGGTGCGGTAGCGATACCGTGGGCACATTTGTTTTATTTACGAGTAGATCATGTCACGACGTGTATTATTTGTTCATTGTTACATCAAATTGTGTTACTAATAGTCCTTATTACTAAAAAAAAATATCACTGTTTGTATCACTTTATATAAAAACTGTTCACCTAGATCAGATGGCAGACCTTTACAAGTGGTGGTCAGCAAACACAACAGTATCCAAGCCTGACAGAGTTTGCTATGATTTATCTATCATCTCCCGTCAGTAGTGTATATAGTGAGAGGCTATTTTTAGAAGCAGGTATAGTTTATGAGGAAAAGCGCAATTATTTGCTATCAACAAATGCTGAAAAAATTGTTTTCATTCATCACAACTTACCATTGATAGATTTTAAGTATTAAATGTAATAATTTGTGATTAAAATAAATATGTTTTTGAGTAATATGTGAGTTTTTTTTCATGATTTGGTATTCGGCATGCAGCCAAATAGTATGCAACATTCGGCCAAATACCAAATATTAAAAAAAGTAGCCGAACAGGCCGAATACCAAATAGTAGCCGAATATTCGTTGCATCTCTAATCTATATCACTTAAATCAATGTTTATCATTAATGCACATTTAATTGTAATTTAAGATTGATAATATCTGGTAATTAAATCTTCAGAATAAACAGGAAAAATTACTGAGTTAAATATTTTTTTAAAAATTTAGAAGAATAGTATATTTAAATGTAAAAAAAAAAAATTTACTAATCATTAGTAAAATTTTTTAAACATTAAAAATATTTGGAGCTGGACATGTATCTCATTCAGTGAAATATATCTTTAAATATATCGTAATAACCAAGGTATTGAATATTTAATTATAAAAATTTAATATCAAAAGAATATATATTAATTAATATAGTTTCTTTAGTAAATAAAGTAAAACCATGTTTAAGATATTTATATTAAACATAAAATAATTTCTTGATACATTATATATCTCACAAACCTTATTGTCTCCGGTTATGACTATTACTCGAATACCAGCTGCTTTACAACATTTTAAGGAATCGCAAACTTCTTTTCTTGGAGGATCTAACATTCCAACAACACCAATAAATGTCATGCCCACCTATAAATTACATATTAGTATCAATTAATAAACAAATCCAAGGGCAAACTATTTAGATCAGATTTAACATATTTATTGGAAAAATTGTTCAAATTAATATAAATAACTGCTGGCCAGATGGCAACATAGTTTTATGATGATTGGATTACAGTTCTGATAGTTTGGGTCCTGTCTGTTTGCAGATGATTAATTCAAAACAATAATTTTTATGATGATTATCTCTCCACTTGCAGCAAAAATAATTCACAAATTTGATATATCATCATCATTATAAAATAAACATTAAAAAATATTTCATTTGGTATTCTTGAAAATAAAATAAAAATTCACATTTTTTCACATTAACTAACCTCTAGTTTTAACTTCTGTGTAAATCAAAAATTTAAATTAAAATATTAAGATAATTATATTAAATTATTTGAATAATTATAAATTTTTTTAAAAATTTATTTTTGCAATAAAAAAACCCACAAATTATGATAACATCTTCCCCAAAGATTAAATAGCATGTACACAAATTTTGGTGTCAATCAGCTTATTGGTTGGAGCTACAGAGCCTATTGAATAGGTCAACTGTAATTATGATCATCCTATATATAAACTACTTGAAGTATGACAGTTTAAGCAGCTTTCATCTCATTTATTTCAATTTATCACAATTAAACTTAACACAAGACACTATATATTTACAGTAATAAATTTGTCTTTCGATCAACTTCATGTTCTAATATTCAATATGTCAATGATTAATCTATTAATTTATTAAAATTATTGAATTCAATTAAAATTTGGAATCTAAAGAATGTATTTGCAAATATTATCATCAGATAGATAACTTAAATAAATACAAAAATTTTATATTATATTAATAATTAACATATAGCTATGAATTTAGTTCTTTTCATAAACCATACTTCATATGATGAAAATTTGGATGATTCTGTAAGATCCATATCATCTACTTTTGGTGGAGTGTCCATTGTAGCCAAAGCCAAACATCTTAGTGTGTCACGTCCTGTTCCATACTGTTTTGTAAGTTCCAAAATACGACTTTTTAATGAAGATGTCATGGGAACTTTGTTTGTTCCAATTCTCACATGTGAACACCGATCAAGAACTCCTTCAGGGGCACCCTATTCAATAGCAATAAAAATAAAAAGTAAATATCTGACATTAATAATTGTTTACTTATTTTAAAATATAAAAATTTACCTTGCAGAACATTTTTGGTCCAGCTCCTAACCTAGAAACTTTAGTAGGAATGCAGTACACACTCATAGATTTTCTATCACGAGAAAATTCCAAAGTAAATTCTTTTTTCCACATTGACTGAATACTATGATTTACAACAACTGCAGATTCCCTCCTTGAAAGTCCTGTTTTATCAACTCCCCAAGGATTCATTTTCTCTGCAAGAACTACTAAAGCAGTTTCTGTTGCCTCTCCAACTTTTTCAAATATTTGTTTATACTGAAACAATAAAAAAGTAACATATTTATTGGATTAAAAACAAAGGTGCAAATATTGCTTTAAACATTAAATATAATAACAACATAATGTAATTAATTAATCCTTTTAAACCAAAAATAAAACTACTTAACTGTTTACCATTACAATATCAATATTCATCTTCTCAGAATTTATTTTTTATCATAAAAACAACTGAAGACAGGAGTGAATGAAGATGTTACATTACACAATCAAAGTTTTTAGTGACTCAATGTTCAATTTTTTATTACGTAATTACAGTGCCTCGTAATTACGGTGCCTCGTATAACATATGCCTCGAATAACAGACGCTGCGAATAACGGACTTTGTTTGGCTGTTATGTGACTTGAGCAACGGACTGGTTGCAGACAACAGACTTTCCGTTCGGCAGTTACGCGAGATGACCAATGGACTTTCTATGAACAAGTGCAAATGATGTTTCCACTGTTTTGCCGTTGCCAATGACAATATGTTATTTTTATAATATATTAGTATTATTAGAATATATTATCAGTATATCTGAAGTACAGAGTGTTGGGATTAGGCTTGCTCCCTTGTTTATTAGGTACATGAACACAGTGCAGGGTATTTACATTTATTCAAGTGTTGTGCAAATCATGGCTTCTAAAAAAATAGAAAAGTGATTTCAATTGAAACAATGCAAGAAATCATCAGAAGGAGTGAAAGTTGACAAAAACTTCCTTGTCGAATGGGGAGAGGTTCAGGAGTTTACCAACATTCATTATCCAAACAGAGCTGAGTCCAACAGGATCAATGATCTCTACATTGACACTCTTGCCCATCATTTCCAACAGGTGTTGAAGAAGAGAGAGAAACAGACCACCTTGGACATGTTTTTCAAGAAGCCAGCAGGAAAAAACAAAGGATGGAACAAGAGGAGTTGACCCCGCAAGCTCCGGTAGCCTCTCCTGAATCTGATTAAAAAACAATAAAAAAAAGACCCGCTGCAATGTGTAAAAAGTCTGTACCTGTATGACTTGTGTGAAGAAAGTGTTCTTCCACCTCCTCCTCACAACATCTGACTACTGGATATAATTGGTGACTGCTCCATTTTCATTTTTTTATGGTACAGTACGGTTATTTTATGCTGCGGAACGAATTATATGTTTTAACATGTATTTCTATGAAAAAATGCGTTTCGTATAACGGACTATTCACTTAACGGACGTGCACCTGGAACGAATTAAGTACGTTATACAAGGCACCACTGTATTTTGATGTACATATATATAACTATGAAATAGTGTCTTATAGACAATATTACAGTGTTGTTTAACTTCTGGGATATTTCACAATGAATGTGAAAGATGATACATAGAGAATATCTTTACCTTAATGGACAGTCAGGTATTGAATGATTGACACCTTCATCCACTCTTGTCTTCAATTAAATCAATATTTATCTATGATTTGTTTATGATTTCAATTGTAAATGGAAAAATTTTGACATTATCTCTCAATAATTTTTAAAAATAATTTATTTGTATAAAATTTTTAAAAACTAAAATTTAATTACTCAATGCATAACAAATGTATCTTTAATAATAAACCAGTTTAATAAACAATATTATATATATACAAAAAAGAACAGCATCCTCTGGCATTCTGCACCAGCAATAATGCCTGAGGATGCTGTTTTCCACATTTGCATTTTATTGTGGAGGCAGAGCTTCAAAAGAAAAGTTGTCTCTGTGTTTGTGAATTTTTGTGGACTGTCACCGGTGTGTTAAAATGACAAATAAGAAATGGAAGCAAAGTATTTCTTTGTACATACTTAATATTTATTAAAGGTAAATACCATTGGTCATATTTTAACTTTTTACATAAACCAGTTTATCATTAATGCTGTTAAATTGGATTATTATCGTACAATAAGCATGTCTGTTCTTCATAGTGAATTCAATTTTATTTTCATTTACTTTTTCAATTTCTAACTGCATCTAATACTAAGAATATTCAGATGTTTTATAACTGTCATTTTACAATACAAATAAGTCTCTAAAGTCATGTTATAAATATTGCTCTATAAAAATATAAACGTTGTAATAAATTACATTTTTCAAGAGATCAAACAAACAATTCACAAGAAATAATAATAAAAATTCTTAATTTTATTATGAATTTTAATATGAAATAAGTTTATTAACTTACCTCATTAAAATCAATACTGGAATCGTTACACATAACACAGATTGTTCCCAATTCGTAGAGAGTTTCGTAATCTGAACATCGCACTTTTTGTCCATTTAAATATCTAACAGATTAATAATTAAAGCAGAAAAAAATTAGTTTGGTAAATGTCAAAATTAAATAAATGTAAATCAAAATAATTAAATAATTTTATTTTAAAAAATCTAAAAATCACTACTACTCTGATAATATTTTTGATATTCAAACAGCAATAATATACTAGAATTCTTAAAAAGTGATTTATTTGTTCATTTATAATATAGTGCAACACATGGTAAAAAGTAAATTCTGTAAATTGTTAGACATACACTGATAATAAGTATTGAAGATCATACAATTATGAATTATAATAAATAGATGAACAAATAAATAAATATAAATTTTACTGTACATTTTTGTTTTTGACATTCAATGTATAAATATGATATTATTACATTATTAATAAATCTAAATGCAATGATAAATATCATATTTTGAACATTAAATGCCAAAAACAAAAATATACAGTAAAATTTATTTTTATTTTATTTGTTCATCTATTTATTATTATATACATTATTATTATATTAATAATATTTTGTCATTTAATTTAACTTAATTAAGTATATTTAAACATGAATTTTTGGATGTCATTTATATTAGATGTAAATTTACTTGGTTTTTATTNATCATCCAATACTAATCACACTTCACAAATATATTCTTATGCTATTCTACAAGTCTTATAAAATGATAAACTTTACTCACATATCTCCTATTGGTTCATATGTAGAACCTGTAACTTCAAACTCATGAAAAGCTATTTCATTGCCTTCTGCTTTATTGAGAATAAAGAACTAAAAATTTGGGGAGGAAAAAATATATATATAAAACACTCTTTTGTCAGTAAATATATGTTAAATTTAAGATAATAAAAATTACAAAATATTCTGTTAATTTTTAATCTCAATTAAACTGTGCCAGAGTATTTTGATATCACAATTAAATTTCCATTTAGCACTGCTATTTCTCTCTCTGTCTCTCTCTCTCTCTGAAGCTGACACTAATTCAAGTGCTAATCTGTCTGAAGCACTTCAAACAATAAGAATGATGATTTTATGATGTCATTTGCAATGTAAAATTGTACATTTATTTATATACACTAAAAGATTCTCTAGTTAATATTAATGGGGAAGGACCATTCATAAATATTCATTGATGCATTATGAGTGAGTGTTATATAAAAGTTTGACTACATAATCAAGCAAACTAAATATGCTATCAAGTGTTTATAAAAAGCATAATTAATTTAAACAAATAAAATATAGTAAACAATATAAAAATCATGTTAAGTGTTTTAAGAAAGACAGCATGTACATATATATGCATGCCATAATTTCCATCTTTATACATAAAATTCCATAGAATTTCCTCAAATAATAGAAGTCATAAAAACCATAGGAATATCTAAAATGAAAATCATGAAGTGTGAGCACACAGCAAAACTTGACACCCTGAAGAAATGATTAAAAACTTTTAAATTTTTAAGTTTTTTTTAGGTCTCTTCTAGATCTAGAACACTTCATTAATTCTGATTAGAAAAATTTCAATGTTTAATAATTTCAAGTGTGTGTATAACAGATCTATTTCCCAGAAATAAGTAATTTGTGTAATAGGACATATGCATGAAATTCTAATGTTTGCTAGATATAATAATAAAGTAATTCTAATAAATCCTCAAGCCTACTTCATAATAAGATTTTCTATGCAATTAAAATAAGACCCCTTTCAAAAGTTTTCTATCCCAAAACCAAAAATATTTAATATAATTTTTAAACAATAATAATTTTCCATGGTCTACTATTTAACCTTTACAAGTTTTTTATCACCACCAGATAAATGGTTTAAGGTAATTAAAAAAACATTCATCAATTTGACTAGCAATTTTATGGTGTATTTTACAATTTCACTTAAAATTCTGATATTTTTGCATGCAGATTGGATATATTGGAATAAAATTATTCCAACCTAATTATTCCAAAGGAGTATAAAATATCAGTAAATGATAGTAACTTAGTTTAAATCGTTATGGTTTGCTATGGTTAATCAAATATTAATGAACAAGATGATCACAAAATTGTTCATTTTGTTCATGTAAGATAAGTAGTATTTATTTATGAAGATGGCTAAATCAAATGCAAATTAAAATGCATCTCATCAAATTCAAGCATGTTTGTAAACAGAAAAGCAGCTTTATTTGTCTATGTCTCAACATATCCAAACTGGAGTTAAATTCATTTTTATTGTTTAATTAAGACATTTCAAAATATATTATTTTCACTGTGTAAATTCATAATTTTAAATGTGCATGACAGTAAAATCAATAAGATTTAAGTCATGGATCTTATAGTTCATTCTGAATATAAATTAAATTGAATAATTGCTATGATGTAGTTTTCGGATATATTGTAGCTCAAAATATATGTAATTATTTCATTTTCAATTAAAAATGAATATCTATGGATTTTAATAATTCAGATGATAATTTTTTACTTCCAGATTTCTCAATTTTTACATTACACTAAAATATATATATATATATATATAATATGTTTTAGTTTTACTTACCCTGCTTACAGACATCTGATTAGTTGTTAATGTTCCTGTTTTATCAGAACAAATAACTGAGGTACATCCTAATGTCTCTACAGAAGGAAGAGATCTTACTATTGCATTTTTTTTGGCCATTCGTCTTGTCCCTGATTAAAAGAGTAAAGTATATTAAATTATTAATATTTCAAAATTCAACCAATTAATAAAATTTCAAAGTCATTTACCAAGAGCAAGACAAGTAGTAATAACTGCAGGTAAACCCTCTGGAATAGCAGCAACAGCTAATGCTACTGCAATCTTGAAATAATATATGGCACCCTTGATTAAATAAAAATAATTACATAAAATACATTTTATCAAATAAAAGAAAAATTACTACTTTCTAAAGGAAATATTCCTATTAATAATTTTATCAAAGTCTTAATCTTTATTTCTAATTAATATGTTAAATCATGCTTTTAAAGTATGCAAGTTCATTGAATTTAATAACATTCCTATTAAATAAAATTAAAATATCTTTAACCTAAAATTTTTTTTGAAATTTGTAATTTCCAAGCAGAAATAATAACAATTAAAATCTATCCATAAAAATGTTACCATTTAGAGGTAAAGAATGACTGTAATGAGCCCAAGAATTTAAATGGAATATGAAGTTAAATATTAATTTTACATTAGTATAAATATTAATGAAAATGTTAACTTCACAAGTGAACTGGAAATATTTTATATTAATAATTTTACAAAATTCATACTGTAATATAAATTTTAAAATTAGATAAACAGATATCAAATATAAAAAAATTCAATATCATCATTATTATTATACAAAAAAAAGCACAAAGCAAATATGAAAAACCAATCATTAGCAGATATTCTACTAAACTGATAATGTTGATCTATCAATGCTATTCCATCAATAAATAAAATTTTTTTGTATGCTCTCATAATCAAATATCCTTTTTTTAACATAAATTATTTTTTGCAAATAATCTACCATGTTCTATAAGTCAACATATTACATGTTGACTTATAGAACAATCTGTAATATGGAGAAAATGAAAAATGTAAGGTGGTAAAATGGAGGGTATTTTTTCACAATTATATACAGTAGAGTGTCATTTATCCGAATCAATTAGGGACTGGTGTTGTTTGGATAACTTATTTTTCAGATAACCAATTACATACAAAAAAATATATTAACCTATTCCGTGTTGAAATTTTTCTCCGTTGTGTGTCGCTTCACGTTGAATTTTCGTCGAAGCCTAATGTGAATTTCTTAAAATAATTGTGGCTATTGTATCGTTAAAAATTATTTCTTTATTTTGTACAAACAAAATAAATATATTGAAAAATATAAAAACAAAAAAAAATTATACTTTGGAAGTTAATCTAGTATCAAAAACGTTCGATTCAGCATGACACAGTCTGACTGGAACGCTTTCGGTTAACTGACATTTCGGATAAACGATGCTCTACTGTAGTTGTGATGCTGACAATAGATAATAAACAAATAAAATCAAACAGAAAAGAATATAATAAAGTTTTTGATGTTATAATTTTGCCTGTTTGTATAAAATAAGACAAGCAAAATGGAAGAAGGAAAACAAATAACTGGCCAAGAAATGTATGAATATTGATGTTCAACTTACTATTTTATTTTGTTACACTGCATTTCTTTTTCTATTCACAATATTCAACAAATAAATTAAGTTCTTGTAAACACTTGCCATCTCAGAATTACAAAATAATTTATACATCTATAATATTGGTATTTTCTTCATTTATTTTTCAAATGATTAAAACTAAATGCATGTCACAGATGTATAAAACTAATGAACACACTGTCATATTATTTTGTTTGCAATTCATTTATTGGGAGATAAATGTTTTGTGAACTGAATAAAAAAACAACAACAAATTTAAAATTTTTTCCTGCTCTTTCTCATCTATTTATACAACTGGAGCTTCAAAATGACAACAAGCACAATTACTTAAAAATACATAAGTTTAGATTACTCAATCTTTCTCATAAATTATTTTTTGTATGAATAATAATTACTTATTAGACAAAACAATTGTTAATCCATAAAGATTAGATTTTTCAGTAACAGTTGATATTACTGCAATAAACAAAACATATATTCAACTGTCTTATATTGAAAAAAGTAGAGATGGACAAATCTATCCATGAATACTCTAATACTAGAAGATCTATGTACAGTAGAGCATCAATTATCCAACCCCCGATCAACTGTCACATCGGTTAACCGACCGCGTTCTAGTCGGCAAATTCAAATGTCCGCTGGTGATGAGGCACTATAATATTTGGCTATGTCTTGGCTACTTTAATATTATTTTCGTGAAATTTTTTGTGTTTTAGCTGGCAACACTGGTTCGACCATAAAAGGGATGCCAATATTTAAACGAGGCTTAATTTTCTAATTATGAGTGTTTGTTTTGTGAGCAATAAAATAATTTTAAAACGACACAATAGCAACGATTATTATTTTTAAAAAATTTTGTTAGGCTTAACATTGATGAAAATTCAACGCAAAGTAGGTTAATAGCAATATACTAATATATAATACTAATTACACAGGATATAATAATATACTATACTAATAATGTATTTTTTCATACTTTTCGGTTATCCATTTTTTCAGTTATCCGACCAACCCCAGTCCCCAATTGAGTCAGATAATCGATGCTCTACTGTATATCTGAGTTCTTTGAATATCCCACTGATAAATTGAATACTATGAATATTTCTAATATCATGCCATATCTAAAGTCAACATTTTTTCAGCTAGAGTTGCCAGATATACGGAGTGAATTATCCCAAAGTGTTTGCAAAATTTTTCCAAATTACAGAGTTTATTGAAAAATTTCCCACAATATCACCAATATTACAGATACAAATTTTTTAAAATTCATAAAAAATTAGCAAATTCAATTTTCAAAATTATGAACTGTACATTAATAGAAGAGTTAAACAAATTCTAATACAAAAAACTGTGATTTTATCTACTTTTGTTTTTGAGAATTTTTGAAGAAGGATTTTCCTACAGAAAAATCATTGAAAAATAATGACAATTGTTGGAGATCAAGTACATACATAACCAAAGAAGTTATAATCAGCTTTAAGAAATATGAGACATTTAAAGACAAAGTCAATTTGATCATACTTCTTACTTTTAGTTATATCAGGCTGATGTTATAAAAATCATATAACAACATCCTGATAGAACTCTAGATATTTTAACATGCTTAATTAGAATTTTCTCCACTTAGGCAAGCAATATTAGCCATTTTGGCAATATGTGGAATGCAACAAAAAGTTAGAAAAAAAAAAACAATTTTAATAATGAAGTTAAATTATCATTAAATAAAAAATTATATCTTCCCCAATTTTCCATTTGAAAATATAAAACTCCCCACAAAATTTCCTAATTAACACTTCATTTTTCCCAGTAATCTAGAAAAGTTCCCCATTTTAAATAAAAAACCTCCCAAACTGGCAACCCTATCTTCAGCTGATTTAATTTGCCACAAAAGCAGAAGCAGACTAGATCCTGAAAAGTTTCAAATTCTTATTTTCTTACTTAAAAATCTGCAGTTGGTGAAAATGAGAACAATTATTGATTAATCTATTGTAGTTAAGATAACAGTACTAAAAAGAAAGTACTGTAAAACTCAAAGTCAAATAAAAACTTTGAAATTTCATTTCTTAGAACTTACTAAATTGTTTTTTCTTTTTACTTTATCAATTTATTATATAGAAATAAATAAAAGTATTAACTAAATAAGTTACATAAGGTAATTAAGTTCACTAAGTATAGTCAAACTTTTAGGAATGAACTATGTGAGATCTGAATAGCCCTGGGTCTAACTAACAATTTAAAAATAAAATTAAATTTTTGTACAAAAATATTCTTTCAATTTGATGTGAAATAAACGGTTTTCTAATGTGGGAAAACTGATAAAACAGCTACTTCCTTTAACGGAAACTGAAGCATCCTTTGTTTTTCCCTTATCTATTAAAAATCTCACCACCCTGGAAATTGTCGACCCCTCAATAACTCCCCTTTTCATCCGTTCACGTGGATGAAGACAAATAAGCTGATTGGCCATAAATCATTGGATACAGGCAAAGATCTGCTTGATTCGAGGAGTACGTCGAAAGATCTCTTAGGGAAAGGAGGTATCCCATATTGTCTCCCTAAGGTCAACGCCCTTAGTTAGGAGTACACCAGAAGATCCCAAGAAGGGAAGACGTAGTCCATTCAAGCTCCTAAGGCCAACACTCTTAGTTATGAGTATCTTATCCAGAAGGCCAACGTCCCCAGACATAATTTTCCCATGTTAAATTAAGTTTAGTTAGACATACTGAAGATAAATCTTATTTTTGTGCTTATCAAGACCCCTCCATGAACAGAACTCAGAGAATTGGAGAATGAAGTAAAATCGACAAATCAAGAAAAAGATAAAGTCAACTAAGAGGTTCTATGTTTATCATGAATTTGTGAGCTCTCTCTCTCGGCACGTATATTTTGATTTACAGGTATACCTCGCCTTACGTCGGTAATTGGTTCCAGGAGAACGACGTAAGTCGAAAAACGACGTAAATCGAATTTACTTGTCTCCGAATCTAGTTGTCACTAGGCTAAACCGTAAATTACTATTCCCGGTTCTGTATTTTATTTATTAATGCATTTTTAATAATATATGGTTAATAAAAATCTATTTTAAGCTTACAAACAAATAAATTTTAGTTTTTAATATAGTACAGAAAAAAGTAATCTAAATTTACGAATGCATGTACTGTAAATANTTAGATTCACTGGTGTCGGGAATCCTGACGTAGGAACAAAGAATTGTGAAATTCTTTAGTTCCGCTTTAAATATTCAACTGTAAGTCCCTCCACACTCGAATTTCCTTAGATTGGGAAAAGCCACTCTCTTGGATAACTAGAGAACTAGTTTCACCAACTAGAAGCCGATTAAGTGATACAAGAGTAATAAACTACTCTGTACCCCCGGCTAGCTCTCACAACTATGTTGAAAACATAATTCATTCCTAAAAGTTGTTCAAAAACCAATATGTTCTAAAATCAAAATAAATTTTTCCATAAGAAATATAAAATGGATTAATCTGTTCCTGACCTAAAACAAAGCCTTTTTTTCCTAAATCTTTTTAGCTGTATTTCATGCATAAAAATGCCTATAAATGCAATATATTATATTAACAAATATTAATATTATAATATATAATATTATTAACTTTTTGTTATTTAATTTAACTTGAACATATTTTAACATGAATTCTTGGATGACATTTACATTACATGAATGTCAATTAATATGATTTTTATTAATTTCATTTAGATTCAACTATGGCATGTACCAAAAAAACAATAGTAGTATCTTTCCCACATGCATATTGAAATTTAATTTAAACAGTAACATCATTGATGGTCTGTGTTGTGATGTCTAATGACTAGGGCTGTGGAGTTGCGTAAAAATCTACCGACTCCAACTCCGACTCTGTTTCATATACATAACAAGTTGGTAAGTAAACGGGAGTCGGAGTTGGCAGATTTTTTGACGACTCCGACTCCGGCTAAAACACCAAAACTCCACGACGCCACAGCCCTGCTAATGACACAAGGCAATCTCAGTGCCACTAACTTCCGAATCAGTAGTCCTGTCATTGATTGGATGGCTGTTGCCTTTCCTTAACCTGTCCCGAGATGTTATTGTGATTATGTTATTCCCGAGATATCTCGGAGTCGTGACCTCTGACCTCAACCGGTTGACCCAAGATATCTCGTTTCAGCATTGGAACATTTTGAAACTAAATGTTATAATTATACTTAATTATAATTAACTATAATGCTAGTTGTTATAATTTTTATATTAAAACTAACTTTCAAAATATAAATTTTTTGGTTATTACATTTATTAATATATCTATTTTGTTTGTGCAAAATAAAAAAAATAATTTCAGACAATACAATAGCCACAATTATTTTCAAAAATGTGTAATTTTCATTAGGCTTAACATTGACGAAAATTCAACATGGCACCACACACAATGAAGAAAACATTGACCATCTGATAGGTTAAAATAGAAAGTACAGTAGAGTATCAATTATCCGAAAACTGATCAACCGAAACATCAGTTCACCAAAAATATTCCAGTCAGCAAATTCAAATTTCTGCTAGTGCTGTGGTACTGCAATATTTGGCTATGTCTTGTAAAGATTAATCAATTTGTTTTATTATTTTTGTTGGTGTGTGTGTTTTAGCTGGCAGCACTGGTGCGACCATGAGAAGGTACTTAAGAATGCACCAGTATTTGAACGAGGCTTTTTTCTCCATCGTGAGTGGTGAGTTTTGCTTGTTTTGTGTGATGTTTTTCTGAGGACTGTGTGGGAAGATGTGTCATGCTGATTCAGAACGTTTTTGATACTAGATTAACTTCTGAAATATAATTTTTTTGTTTTTATATTTTTCAATATATTTATTTTGTTTGTGCAAAATAAGGAAATAATTTTTAACGATACAATAGCCATGATTATTATTTAAAAAAATTTTTTGTTAGGCTTAACATCAACGAAAATTCAACGCAAAATGACACGCAATGGAAAAAAATTTCAACATGGTATAAGTTAATATAATTTTTCGTACATGATCAGTTATCTGAACAATCCCAGTCCCAATTGTTTCGGATAATCGATGACCTACTGTATAGGGAGTTGATCATCTGTGGACAGCGCTTGCCGAGTAGCTTGTTTGGCAGCTAAGTTATCATATAGCAAACCTGTGCAATTATGAGTTCAAAATTCTGTTCATAGACCAAATCATTTGAAAACCAAGGTTTGATTGTAGTTGAGATATTCAAGTATTTGAAACATTCAAGATCTGGTTTGAATTCAAAAAGTAATAGTTGCCCATCTTTAAAAATTTTAGAGATTATTTAAAAACCATAAAAATAACATCAACATCTATATTTTGAACTTTTATTAATCTGTACAACAGATTTATATATAGTTCTAAGAAAATATATTTAATTATTTTTAAAAACTCAGATTTTCTCAATTAAATATTACATTACCTTATAACGAAATTTTGATTTCATATTTAATCTAATTAAAATCACAAAATACATATGATAAAAGACTTAAAAATTAAAAGTAATTATCTTTATTTAGAAAACATAGTAATAATAATAATAATATCATCAGCATCTATTTTCTCTCTGAGATGGAGATAAAATACCATATTTTGACGAGTATGTCACACTTTTTTTACTACTTTTTGGGGCTCAAAATCATGATGCATCTTATACTCGACAGGTAACCATTTTTACAGTGAAATTACCTACAGTAGTGGTCCACTCTAGGGACCAACCTGTGCAGTAGTCCATTAAGCAGATGGGTCCTTCAACCGAATGGCTAGAGTATCTAGATTATCAGAGTAGCGACACACGAGTCATAACCGCCGTGTTCTGTCGACTGTCATCACATGACCTCTGAGTTTACATTAAGAAATGACAATTATTTCAGTTTAATAAAGGTATTGATTCATCCATTCGTCATATTCTTGAATAAAAAAAAACGAATAAAATGCATCTTTAGACAATCCTATTAAAACAGTTTTTTTCTAAATTTTTTGTCTCAAAATAGGGGTGCGTCTTATACTCGTCAAAATATGGTACTTTATGCAGTAATACATATTACTAAATTAAATAGCAGTAAAATTCCATTTTACAGATTTTTCTACAGACTATATGCATTGTTTTCTAAAAATGTATTAAAATAAAATCTTCCACTATTTAATGTAAATATTAATTTAAATACAAAATAAGTACTTTTATCCAGGAACCACCATGAGCAGGATCATTGAAGTGTCCAATATTAATTGCCCATACTGCAACACAAATAACAGATATCACTTTAGAAAGTTGTTCTCCAAATTCATCAAGTTTTTGTTGTAGAGGAGTTCTGACTTCTTCAGTTTCAGACATTTCTGTCCTAATTTTACCTACATAATTTTAAAATTTATAATTATCAAAATAAAATCTTTAACTATTTAAATAAATACTTTAAAAAATTAATTTATTACTACTATGCTGTAATTAATGGCTATTATTTTAATTATTCTTTTCTTTCTTACAATTTGTTTATTGTTGCTTAACTAATTTCATGTATTTGATTACATAGATATTTATGGATTACTGTTAATATAAAATCTGACACTTTCAAGTTGCAGCTGTAATTGGATGTGTCTTCTACAGCAAATTTAATTTGTAATCTCTTTCAATTTTCGCTTCTAATTTGATGAACAATAAACTTTAAGAACTTAAAATTATCAGTAATCATTTTTAAAGTCAGATCCATGTTGACTTTTTCCTTCATTTTTGATTCTCTCTACCCTACAGATACTAAAAGGGTCTTTATCCATACTCTCCACAGGTTTGATTAGACCCACAATGGGAGCAACCAGGTGGCAAGAAATGACAGCTTGACATGTCTAAGACTGACTGATCATGAAAAATTCTTGAGTTTGTTTGTCTGGATTTGTTTTCAGGTTTCCCAGAGAGATACACAGTTCAGTTATCTGGCTGTCTCCATGCTGAGATTAATCCAATGCAATTAAATATAAAATATTCCAAACACTAAATTTTTTCGTGTCAATTATAAACTTAAACTGCAACATTTGCTTACTTTGACAATAACCATTGCAATTTTAATTTAATATTGAAAAATACAAAAGCACAAGTATAAATATATACAATAACTAATTTCTAAATAACATAAAAAGCTGACATAATACTTTTCTTCATAGTACAATATTAATTATATGATAAATTTAATTATTAGGGAATTCTAACTGTCCTATTATCAATTTAAAAAAATCCAAAATAATCAAAAATAAAATGTAATTACCTATGGCTGTTTCTAATCCTGTTCCAATTACAATTCCTTTTGCTTTACCAGCAGCAATATTAGTCCCCTGGAAATTGAAAAATGGTTCACTTACTAATAAATATATAGTAAATAATGATATATGTTATATATAAATATATTAATATTTAGAAATATAAAATATTATATTATTCTTTTGCATAAAATGGAAAAGTAAATAAAAAAATCTATTAATAAACATCAAGAAATGTATTCTGATTTAGGCTAACAAACAAACAAAATAAAGAAATATATAAATAATGAATTTAATGTGTTTTATCACCTTTAATGTTTACTTGGTCTCAAAAATTGAGGTTTGTACTAGAATCAGGTATAAAGTCAACTTGATGTAGCTCTATTTGTATAGTTCTTCACACTACTTGGTAATTTGTATATATTCCATTGCTAGAGTAGAAATGATATGTTATTATGGTTCCAATTTTGATTTTGGAACAGCTTAGTGTTTTTCTTTAACTGAAGTCAAGTAAAAAGTGTCCAGTAGATAAATCTCCTATAAAGCTGTTTGAGCATTATCCACTATACTGAAGAACATGTTAATATAGATGTTACAGTGGGATACTATGTATCTGGTAAGTTTCATGCGTTACATACTGACAACATAAAAGCTTGCTGTTAAAATGTTGATTGTATAATAATTTTGATTATGATTTGCTATAACTGATTGCCTAAATGACATTTTCTATCAATGATGGGTTGTAGTGGTTATATAAAATGGCCTCCGAGATCTTCCAATGTAATGCCACTGAATTTCTGCTTCTGCATATCAGGGCTTCATCAAAGACAAGATATATGTACAGTATTACCCATACCAGAAATCTTGGATGATCTTAAACAGGGTTACAAATGAGCTGGGCATTAGTTAGAGTCAATGAGATAGAGTCAAGGTATGGCAGAAGTTGAATTTCATTGGAAGGTGTGTTGAAGTACTGGTGAAAACAATTACACTAAAAATTTATACTGACAATGCTTGAAGCATTATTGCTTAATTCACAACAAATGTCAAATCTACATTTTCAATAGTTTGATGACAATATTTTCAAAATTAATTATTATTTACTGCATTATGAAACCCCCTTTATATTAATATTCTAAAAATTGCATACAATATGTACCAGCCATAATGTGTTTTTACACTCTGCATTGAGTCTGTATGTGATCATTTTATAAATGTATAAAATGTTTGAAATTATTAATATGAATAAAATAAGAATTTACAACAAAACAGGAATACAAATATTTAAAATTATATACCAATAATCTAAAACTGATCAATATAACCATATGGCTAGATACTTACAGAAAACAATATATTCTTCTTATCCTGATTTACAGCTCTAGTATCTGGAATAGGATCTGTATGCTTAATAACGGATACAGATTCTCCTAAATAATAAAAAATTTAATTAGTGTAAGAAATTTTAAAGTGAAAATGAATCAATCTTTATTATTATTGATTTTTGTAATTAATATTTATAAAATTCAGATTTTACATTAAGTTTTAATGTATGCAAAACAGTTTAATATATAAATATTTAAGATTTAATGAAGGATCACAAATTTTCAAGTAACTTAAATAGTTAAAATATTTGGCACTTTATCAAAGAATGTAGTTCATATCCTAAGACCAAAAATTTTTTCTTCTACACAGATCAATTTCTTTTTAAAAAACATAATTTATATACTGTAATAAACAGGTTGAGTTTGTTTATTAACTCTAATTGTTAATAAATGAACTTAGCCAGATAACCAAGGCAGTTAAGGCATCAGTCTGTTACTGAAGGATATGGGATCAATCCAGGAGGTTAAAAAATCCAACAATTTTATAGGAGTGATCTGTCCCAGATATGTTACATCTTGTCCCTCACCAGCCAACTGTCCCATTGCAAGCTTGGCCTAACCCACAATGGGCCTGAGAAAAAAAAAGATCTCCTACAGGCCTGTAGGAGAGCTTAAGATTTCATATGACAATTAGTTTTTTCCAGGAAAAAAAACAAAACAGTATGAAATCTTTTTAAATTTCCACAGCCTTCATTAATTAATATAAACATTACTTTTGAACTAGTTTAGTTTCTTTGACTACTAATCATATGAAAATAATTTTTATATCATTTTAATTTGAATATTTTTTGATGCAAGTTTTATATAAACTGTGTTTATCAGCATTTCATATATATATTGTTAATGATATATATATATATATATATTGTTAATGAAAACAAGTACTGTAATGTAACAAGTAATGCAAGTCTTTTGTAAAGTACAAAATGCTAATAAACACAGTTTATATAAGACTTGAATCAAAAAATATTCAAATTAAAATTAAATATATAAATATATAACTAATTAATTTTTAGAAAGTTTATTGCAGCAGGATGACAGTCTTCACTTTTTATTTTAAATATTCTCATATGGTTATGCATCTATCTACTATATAGATATCTATGCCAAGAAAAACAAATTACGATATTTTAATAACAACTTGTAAACACCATATTTATTATATTTATAAATTCTTCCAACAATTTATATTAGTTAAAGTTTTCAATTTTGACTTTAAATAATCTGTGTGGAAGATCAAGATATTAGCATACCAAAAAGATGAAGTTATAATGAAAGTACTGAAATAGTTAATTATAAACATATGTACACATATCTTATTGAAGTATTTCAATATTACATCTCAATAATATTTTGCAAAATGAATTAACCAGAAAAGTAAGTTTGGAAAAAGTTAATTAAATTAGTTTTCAAGTTGTATTTATTATTGTTGGTCTTTTTCCAATTGCATAATTTGGCTGGTTATAATATTAAAAAGGTAGTGATATTTATAAATGGATGCTTTTTATAGATAACATTCTTCATCATTTTTAAAATATAAAAATATGATCATTTTTAATTTTATTCATAAAAAAAATACAACTAAAATAGGATTTATATAAATATATAAAGCCTATAAAATATGTAAATACTTTCTAATCATATTGTAATAAACTGATAAATTAAATAAATCATCATTTAATGTTAAATCATATTAAAAAAACTTAAATATATTAGAACTAATATATTTAAAATTTTTTTGTATTTAAAGATGTTTGTATTTGTACAAGCACTATAAGCAGTTCTAATGCTTATAGTGTTGTACATAAACATCATCTTTAAAATCAATTTATAGAACTAATTATTATAGAACAATCTTTTGTAAACTACTCATTTATAGTATAATGGAAGGTTGAAGTCCCAATCAGAAATTTGTGAATCACTGTAAATATTTTAGAAATTAAGTAATCACACAGTTTGTAAGGAACCAAGTCTGAGCTTTATTTTTATTTTTATTTTATTTTGCTTTCATTATATTTTGTTTGGGGCTTATGTTTAGTTAAGACGAAGGTTTCCTCACCATTCACCTTAGTAACTTAAAAATAGAAGAAAAACCAACTCACCGACGAAAGAAAAGCGCCGTAGAAAAACTCGCGCACACTTGCGCTTCCCAAGCGGAAAAAAGTAAGTCCGCACCGAGAAAAAGGGGGGGAAGACCCCACAACCCAGTTAGGAATCGCTAAACCTTAAAAGAATAAAGCATCCCGATAATTGTTAAAAAGAATAATGTAAAAGGTTAGCGAAGTATTGTCGGAAAATAATCTGCCAGATAAACAAGAAAAATTTAATGTTACAGATAAGTATGTAAATGAGGAGAGTGAGCTCATTCAGAATTGTGACGTCACCTCACACTATAAAGCCTCTAACTCAAGTGAAAACGAACGAGGTGAATTCCTGATAGCAACGAGCTTTGGTGAGCTTCGTAGCAGTGAACGAGAGAGGTGTCCGATAGGATTTTGAAGTTATTCGATTTGTGGATCGACGATTATAGAAAGTCTTGAGAGTTTGAGGAAATAGGTTCCTAGTATATTGAGGTGACGATTAGGATCTTTAATTTATAAGAATTATTGTTTATAAGTTAATTCTTTGATTTTGTCGAATTCCAAAGGGGAATAGAATTAAGTTAGAAATAGATTGATTTGAGTTTGTCGGATTGATTCTTGTTGAATTTCATTGAATAAATTATTGTTTGATTTTTACTAAATACTGTATAGAGTTTATTAATAGAAGTTTAATTAAATATTTGATTTTGTTATTGACAAACTTTGTCATTATTTAATTCGGTGCACGCTTAAAGTCCAGGCCTGGCACACTAACGCGAATCCGCGTAAAGTACCCGTTAGGGAACGGCTATTTCCGGCACACAGTAGTGTCGATAATCGTTGGAAAGTCGGAAAAATAATATAGTACTTTACAAGTTTATACCTGTTAATATAGACTGATCAACCCTAATTGTAGTTGAATAAATTTTGATCAATCTGATATCTGCTGGTACTTTATCTCCAACTGAAACTTCTACCAAATCTCCAGGAACTATATCTTTCGCCCTAATCCTTTGGACCCCCTGTTTATCTTGACGAATTACTTTTCCCATTTCTGGTTCATATTCTTTAAGAGCTTCTATAGCACTTTCTGCATTTCTTTCCTAATAAAGAAAACAAATGTAATTATTAAAATAATTTTACTTACAATTAACTAATCTTTTATTTTTTTAAATATTGTTAAAATTATTATGAAATAAAACATTTTTTACTTCAGGGGGCACAAAACTAATATTTATTTATTTTTTGATATTTTACACTAAAAGTTTTCTATACAAATCCAAATGTTGGAAGTTTTTCTCATTTATAAATACTATTGTAGTTACAGTAAAACCTGTAAAAACTAGAACTACACAGACAGCTTTATCAGGTTTTACTGTGGCAGGCAGGTTGGAACAAATGGTCACTGCCAGAGAATATATATATGAATGTATATTCATATTCTCTGGCAGTGACCATTTGTTGACTGCATTTACACTTGGTAAAACCAAGTTTAATGACCTCAAAATAGAAAGAAAATAGTACTGAAAATAAAATACACATTCATTTGTATTCTCAACCATGTATATTCTAAATTAAATTTTTTTATATTATCTCACTAACAACAGACTTTTTAGATGCTGTTTTAGGGTACTCAATACAAGTTGAATTCTATACTCTCAAGCTCTTTCTGTATCTTAATTATCCAGAAAATTCTTCCACTCTTAAAATCAAATGGACTTAAGCCAGAAAAAGAAATATGTAAAATACAGCATAAATGCGGACAGAAACAGAAATCATGAAAATATTTGCTGAAGTTTCTTCCATAATCAAACAAAATCTGGTAGAGTAAGTTTTTTTTTTGTTTTTTTACATATTGAAAAGACTTTCTACCAAAATGTAGCCAATAGGAAAAAAATCTCTCACAATGATTGTTAATCTAGTCACAAAGTTTTGTCTTAATTTCAGTAATGGCACAAACTCTTTGCTGATCAGTGTAGTAACCAAAAGATGTTTGGGCTGCAATTTGAAAAAACTGTAGACCTATAAATGTCCACTGTCATCAATCCACCCATCTTTCCTTAATCTTGAGAACAGAGTTAGACAGATGAAATCCATGACCAGATATAAAAAAATTAGGGGCAAGAGGCTTGATTAACTTTATAAGAACTTCCAATGCAAACCAGAAGTTGCATTATTTCAACTCAAAACTTTTCCCCTAAAAGCAGTTAATAGATGATTAGAACAACTCTATTGTTAAAAGAAATGTATGATATACTACTAATTTGAGGTGGAGAGCATATATTTTAACACCTTCACAGCGTTACAAGGCACATGTGACTCGTATAAACGTGTCTAGTTAGGGCTACAGATATAATTGCTTGTTTTTCTGTGGGGTAGCGCATATGTTTTGATAATATAATTCTACAAGCATCATACTTGATATATCAATATTATTTTATTAAGTGCAATAAAATATATTAATTTAATATATGAGGCACAGGTGACTCGTGCCACCCTGTATTAAAATAGACTACGAGTCAGTCATGGGTGACTCGTAATGCCCAGCAGCTGCATAAACATTTATCTACTGATGCCGTAAACGTGTTAAATTAAATAAATGAAAAATATGATTAAAAATTTCAGTCCATCATTGTGACGATATCAAAATAAATAATTGCTCGTTAAACCTAATTTTAAATTGGTATAAGATTTAATATACATATTTCAGATTACTTATTAAAGTTTACTAGTTTTTGATATACATATCACTTCACTGTTCAATCCTAAATGCTTGTTAAATCATAGTAAAAATCATACAAAAATTTTAAAAACTGGACAAACAAAGTTTTTAAAAACTCATAATTGAAAATGAAGGTTAAATTATTGATAGTATTTATTTAATAAAATTGTTTTGTGAATTATATTCAATTGTAATACTTTTTCTTTAAATAAGCTTTCTGGTAAAACTTATAAAATTCTTTTATTTTTGAAAATAAATTTTCAACTTTCTTTTCCATACAATAATTGATAATTTTTCACTAAGAAAACTTTAAACATCTAGAAAAAATTAAATTAATGTAACTGTTAAACTGCTTTGTAAGAATACAAAATACATGGAGATGACAATGCTTATTTTACACAAATTCATTTCCATTTAATTTTTATTCTGATCACACTACATTTTGAATTTCATTAAAATTAATTTTTCAAAGGGAGAAAAAACAACCAAACTATTCTTTACATTTCTTATTATTTAATGTTATTTAATATGATTAGCATCTATGTTAACTCAAACATATCTATTTTGATTTTCTTAACATAAATTGTATTTTGCAAGTAGGATATACAGTGGAACCTCGGTATACGACCTTAATCCGTTCCTGGTGTTTGGACTTATACCGAATAGGACGTATACCAAACCAACCTTTTCCATAAGAAGTAATGTAAAAATGATTAATCCGTTCTCATGTAAAAAAATGGCTGGCTTTAAACACCTCGCTTTCCTTACTAGTTTCTGCTTGATTTTTCATGAGATCAGTATGTATCCTTTTAACTTTCTCGCAAATAATTTCTTCTGATACGCTGTCGCCGGCACACTGTTTTTCAGTTATCCAAAGCAACAGCAATCTCTCGACATGATCTAATGTCTNGTAATGCCCAGCAGCTGCATAAACATTTATCTACTGATGCCGTAAACGTGTTAAATTAAATAAATGAAAAATATGATTAAAAATTTCAGTCCATCATTGTGACGATATCAAAATAAATAATTGCTCGTTAAACCTAATTTTAAATTGGTATAAGATTTAATATACATATTTCAGATTACTTATTAAAGTTTACTAGTTTTTGATATACATATCACTTCACTGTTCAATCCTAAATGCTTGTTAAATCATAGTAAAAATCATACAAAAATTTTAAAAACTGGACAAACAAAGTTTTTAAAAACTCATAATTGAAAATGAAGGTTAAATTATTGATAGTATTTATTTAATAAAATTGTTTTGTGAATTATATTCAATTGTAATACTTTTTCTTTAAATAAGCTTTCTGGTAAAACTTATAAAATTCTTTTATTTTTGAAAATAAATTTTCAACTTTCTTTTCCATACAATAATTGATAATTTTTCACTAAGAAAACTTTAAACATCTAGAAAAAATTAAATTAATGTAACTGTTAAACTGCTTTGTAAGAATACAAAATACATGGAGATGACAATGCTTATTTTACACAAATTCATTTCCATTTAATTTTTATTCTGATCACACTACATTTTGAATTTCATTAAAATTAATTTTTCAAAGGGAGAAAAAACAACCAAACTATTCTTTACATTTCTTATTATTTAATGTTATTTAATATGATTAGCATCTATGTTAACTCAAACATATCTATTTTGATTTTCTTAACATAAATTGTATTTTGCAAGTAGGATATACAGTGGAACCTCGGTATACGACCTTAATCCGTTCCTGGTGTTTGGACTTATACCGAATAGGACGTATACCAAACCAACCTTTTCCATAAGAAGTAATGTAAAAATGATTAATCCGTTCTCATGTAAAAAAATGGCTGGCTTTAAACACCTCGCTTTCCTTACTAGTTTCTGCTTGATTTTTCATGAGATCAGTATGTATCCTTTTAACTTTCTCGCAAATAATTTCTTCTGATACGCTGTCGTCGGCACACTGTTTTTCAGTTATCCAAAGCAACAGCAATCTCTCGACATGATCTAATGTCTTCGATCTCTGTTTAGAAACTGATTTAACCCCTTTCGCAACGTTAGCAAATTTAACAATGTCTTTATTTTTCACGATTGTCGATATCGTTTTCGGAATACGGAATGCAACAGTTAAATCTCGAACATGTGTGCCACCTTCATATTTGTCAATGATCTCTTTTTTCAGTTCCGTTGTGATTATAGTCACTTTTTTATTTTTTATTTGCTCTTTTGCAATTCATGATTAATAAAAATAATAAAATGTTACTTACAAATTAAAATCAGAAAAAATTTAACAAAGTTATAAACCGTAGCACCGCGAACGTCTAGTCTGGTGTAGTACACCGATAGTGCTACTTGTTCATAGATGGCGCGTATAATTGAATTAAGTCGTATACCGAAGAAAAGTCGTATACCGAGCAAAATTTGTTTCGTCCAAACAGGACGTATTCCGAATTGGACGTATTCTAAAGCAGACGTATACCGAGGTTCCACTGTATATACCATACTTGAATTAATGATTACATTTAAACTGATATTTTTTCATTTCATTTCTAATCTTATTTTCAAATTATCATCAAACTTACAAATGTTTATAGTAAACAATTTTTTTAATACTTTGTTATAACTAATAATTGCTGATACATACTAGGTTGAGGATTAAATTTCTGTATCAGTTAATTTTTAATTTTTTTTATAAATAAAAATAAGAAAATCAAAAATTACATTAAGCACTACTAGTAAATTTGATGAGCTGATTAAAAAATAAAAATAAAAATGTAAAAATAAAGCATATCAATGCTATAATATGATATCTTCTTATTTATTTTTTTTTTAAGAATATTACGTTTTTTAAATCTTTAATTACCTGCCAAACACCAACAACGGCATTTGCAATAAGAATGAGAAGAATAACAAATGGTTCTACAAAAGCTGTTATTTGACCTTCGTGCTCTTCAAATATTGCTAATACCTAAAATAAACATTAATAATCTGTATTAATTGAAATTTTCTACAAAACTTTAAAAAATAATTTTAAACATAAATAAAAAGTTGTTTTAAATTTTAAAAATTCCAGAAATAATTGTATGAAAATAAACTGGTATAGCATAAATCATTAAAATAATTATATACAAGTATAAATCATTGTATATTTTTCTGATGAATCTCTTCCTAGATTATATTAGAAATATTTTTAAATATACACTGCAATTATAGTTAATTATGTCTTCACATATTTGTTTATGAAATTCAATAGCAAATAAATAAAAGTTTAAATTTCTATTCAAGTATTTTCTAAATAAACATGTTTTCTAACAAGCTAAATTTAAACAAAATAAAAGAAACAACAAAACTGCATAAAAATTCTAAAAAGTTAATTTTATAATAATACAATAATCATTAATTTCATTTTTTGAGTTTTGAAAATTTAATGAAGTATGAGGAGTAATTATAAATTCATTAATACCAATTTGACACCAGCAAATCCTTATTATATGAATATGAATAAACTAATGATATGACACAAAGTTACAGATTTACCAACCATTTCTAACAAATATGGAACACGCTTCTACATTTATAAATTTTTCTTAAGATAATGAAAATTTAAATTTTGATGTTCTTCATGTTCTTCACTTTCAAAATAGAATACTTATAAATTTAATAATAATACAATTAAAGATTAAATAATCATCCTTATCTGAATCTATATAAAATTCAATAAAGAAACTAATTAAAGTTATGGTAGCCATTAGTTTTTTGATTACAGAATGTTTTCAGAAAATTTAATTCTATGATCAGAAGATTGTATATACATTCATTCTTTTTTAATTAATGTAAGAATATACATTTTAAAAGAAGTCATACAGCATTATTTTCAGATTAAAAATTCAAATCAAATGATGTGAATGTACTGTAAGCTATATTTGATTTTTGAAAAATATAAATTTCCATAACTATATAAAAATAAATATCTAATAAATACATGAAATAGTTCAATTTAAAATAGAATTAAGAGTAAAAAACTAATATACAATTTTATGTAAAAAAATCATTTATTTTTATTTTTTAAGTGTTTTATATTTCATTTTATTTTAATCTAAAGTTTTATTTCTTAAATTTTTGTCCAGATAGATTTGTTATTACTTTAAAACTAATTGAAGATGTATTATTTTTAAAAATATTTATGGAAATATAACAGCAATACCATAATCTGTACTTATTCCATAATCAAAAATTCTAATGATATAAAATATTAATTTACCTCAAATTTATAATAATATTCTTCATTAAGTCATTGTTAAAGTACATGTTTTAATGATAATTTAATGAAGAATGTTAATACAAAAATTTATTGACAAAGCAAAATTCTGACTTCTATTTTTTTTTTTTAAATTCAGTTAAAATTTATAATTAAATTTTCAAAAATAAAACATTACCGGCATGTTGACATCATATATTTTGTAGAAAAACTCAAAAGCATTTGATATCTCTCATTGCTCATTTATGCACCTTTGTGATGTAATTGATACACAAAAGTAATTTTTGTACATATATATAAGGTAATTTTATTTTTATGATATAAATAATTTTTGACATAAGTTTATGTTTATAAATAACACTACAATTTTGTTATTAATAAATAAATTAAAAATACTCACAAAAGATATAATAGCTGCTAAAAGTAATATTTTCACTAATAAATCATCGAATTGTTCTAATATAAGTTGCCATAAAGGTTTTCCTATATATATATAAAAAAAAACAATAATGCCATTAAATAACATGGTAAAAAAAATTCTAAACAACATAATCTTATATATGTTAACCATTCAACAGTGAGAGACAGATATATCCATCCAGGGCAATCGTGTGGCACTGGTGAGGGACGGATATATCCGTTAAATTCTTTTGGGGTATCGCCAAAAACTACCACAAAAAAAATCTACATAAAAAATGATTTATGTAACAATAAAAAAAGACATTTCTTTACTAGACATAACTGTTTACGAACTCTTTTTCCAAAACAGTAATGAAAAAAAATGCGTGGAAAAATACTTTAAAAATTTCCACCATTTATTCTCCACTGCTTTGGGACAGCACCCATACCTGACTATCCCACTGCTGAAAGGTTAATAATACTTGGCTTAATTAACATGATAAACCATTTATCATACAATAATTTACATGTAATAAAAAATGTTCACTTTTGCTTAATATTATTAAAATGTAACCAAATGGGTTGTTAGGAGAAACATTAAACCAATCCATTCATTAAAAAAATATGTACTGTTCTAAATAAATTTGTCAGTGTTATAAAATTACCATAAAAACCATTAATTTTAGACTTTTTATTATTAAAATATAGCAAAAGACTAAGGAATTAGTTTTGTTTATTTTATTTTTTTGCTTCCTTCAAATTGTTATGAACAAATTTTTCTATTTAAAATTTTTCTTTGTTAAAACAAACATACTGTGCCCAAAAGCAAAAGGCTCTATCTTTAAAACAACTGAATATCAAGTTGCACACTTATCATATCTAATTAGTATCTTTTATCAACATTGCCCAAATCTAGTGTGAAAAAGTTCTATAATTATTACAGAACATTTTTCATACAGAATATTACATATTATCAATAAAGGATACTACAACTTTATTTTCAATTTTTACAGAGATAGAATCTTTTGCCTTGTATCATCCAATATGGGACCATAAAACTCATTGAGTCAAACCAAGTTATCCTTTATATTTGAGCACTAAACTGATATAAAACCTCAAAACTGAAATCATTTATATGAAACTTGTAAACAAATGATTTTAGCTTCGCTAAGTTTCATCTTTTTTATTAGTTACTTATACTGTTATTGTTTTTATTTGTTATATCATCTTAATTTGTGGGTTTTCTGTTATCTGGGGTAGAAACCTTTTGTCCAATAGTATTTCCATGTATATGTAAAATAAATAAATAAATCTCATTCCAAGCATTCCTTCAAGATGTAGCATTTTCTCTGTCAATTAATGTATTATAAATGTATACATATACAGTATATAATTATAAATATTCAATATATAACAAACAAAATTCTATTTTAATTACATATTTGAATACATATAGTTTATGGACAAAAAAAGTTTGTGTCAAGAACAATGTGGAATTGTCTTTTTCAGATACCTTATAGAATATCTCAACTCCCTTTTCTCAGTCTAAGCAATATTAATGTAATTTGCCCTTAATTGTCTCATATGAATTAAAATATATTCCTATAATGCTTCACTTTTACAATATGAAAATGATGCTATAAAAAACTGGAGCTTGGTTTTAAAAATACAACAATGAAATATTATTATTTTAATGTTTTTTTAAAGGTAATGCAAATACATTTTATTAATACTCTGAAAACTTTTACATAATATATACATGTCTATGTAAATATTTTTCTACAGTTGAATAGCAACTAGAATTTTTTGAATTCAAACAATTTTTACAATTGTTTTAATTAATGAAAAAAAAACAATTATATTGTCAATCAGTTGTCATCACTGTCATAAATAATGATGATGACAATTACAAGTGCATTCTGAATTCAAAAATTTCTAGTTTATATCTTTATAGATACTGCCTGATAATTCACTAACAGTACATCCAAAATTCATATTCATTTTCAACCAATTTTACTTAACACCACAGCTGCATCAATATTAAATATATTTCATTTCTATCAAATAAATTAGATTTTTGTTCCATTACTGGAAAGTATCATTTTATACAGAAAATGGCATACAACATCAAATTCTATTTACAAATATATAATGTATCAATTTTGATAATTCCAGAATGTGGTATTCTATTAAAAATAAATAAAATTACAAATTTTAAGTTAATGAATGGTATGGTATCAAAAACATTATGAAATAAAATGTATTTGCTTAGTATTAAGCTAATATAGGCAAGTTAAAGGTTTGTAAAACAAAATTAATAACTACAAACCAAGTAAACAAAATTATTTGTAACTATTGTATCTTATTATTGCTTGTCATAATATTATATTAGTTCCTACAATTCTGTATTTTTATTGACGAATTATGTTTTAAATCAAGAAGAAATAAAATTTATTTTATAATCTTATACATTATCAGTTAAAAAACAAAGAAAATAAACTTTACTTTCCAGTTTAAATACCTCCACTAATGTAATTAATTAATGTTTATTAATTAAATTAGCTACTTATTTTCTTGACATTATTGTGGATACCATTTTTATTCAGTTGTTCATAATACTTTTCAGAGTCAATATTTTAAAAAACTAAAAGATAGAATCCCTTTTCAGGAAAAATAAATTTGGTAGAAATAAACAATTAGGAAATGTTTTATATAAACAAGTTCAATTTTGAAACATTTTAACATACAAAACTAAGTAAATAATAAAAGATTGTAGAAAAAATAAGTATTTGCTGATTGATTCCTTGAAACAAACTATTTGAATAAGTACTTTAAAGTATTTTGATAAAATTAATAAAAAAGAAACATTGTATTCAAATAATTTTTTTACGTTACAATTATTGGATAGTAAAGCAAAGAAACACAGCTATATGGGAAAGTTTTAACTATATGTTTAATTTGTTATCAGAGTGACATTATAGTTCATAGATTTAATAATCCTTACTGATCTCTCAAATATTAATCTTTAAAATCTAAACTATTTCATAACTTAAAAAATACTTTATATCTTATCAGTCAATATTGATAAATATCAGAAAATTTCAGATATTAGCATAAACAAGGTAGCAACCAAATTTGTGAACACGAGTGCCATTTTAGTTAATGTTTAATATTAACTTAAAGTTTTTAGTTTAATCATATGATTCATTACAATTTTTATGACCAATAAATACATTTTTACAACATTGTTAATAATTTCAAGAAAATGCTTTATAAAAACAATCATTATACATATATGATTGTTTATATAAAGCATACATATTATATAACAATAATATTCTGTCACTTATGATACAACTGAACTTATCACCATATATATGTATCATTTCAGATCTATTACAGATCAACTGTCCCAATTCACTTATCAGCAATCTAATTTGCAGTATTATGAAATTATTTACCTTTTTACTAAAATTGCAAAATCGAAGATATTAAAATAAAAGTTTATTTATTGTAAGAAATATCCCTGATAAAAGTTTTCATATTGTAGATTAATTTTAATTTGAAAAGTTCAACAAATTTTTGTTTTCTTACAACTTCATTTTAATAATTTCTTGGTAAGAGTTCAAAACACTGTAAAATTTCATAAATTTCCATTTTGAATTATTTCAGATAGTTTTATTGTATTGAATGAACTTTTATGAAACATTTAATTCAAAAAATAACCCAAATTTTCCATTTTTTAGATCTTACTATGTATTTTACTATACATTTTCTCTGAAGACACTAAACATTTTTGTTAGTTCATATAACAAAAAAATATTTGCTACATACAATAATTTTAATAAAACTGAGTGAAGTGATTAAACTGAAAGATTATAAAATTAATTAAACCTAACATGTATTTTATGAAAACCTGTAATAGGCATTATTTAATAAAAAGATATTTTTTTTTATTTATTTAACATTAAAATTTAAATAAACATGATTTTAAATATATCTGTCACTGCTCTAAAACTTTGTAGTTGATATCCATTATCTATCAACGAAAATTTATTTAGTGACCCCAAAAAAATTCATCAAGATTTAAGATAGGAATATAACTTGATAATCTCAATTTTGTACTATAAATAGTAAAAATAATCACTTAATTTAATTAAATTTAAACTATCATATCATTTTTATTGAGTAACTTTATCCCAAATAATAATATTATTAAAATACATATTTAATCAAGTGTTAAACATTTAAATTGATGATAATAGTAAAATAGAATTATTACTATTAAAGAAAGCTAAAGTTAAAAGTAACTAACAATATAATTTAAAAATGGTTCTTATAGTTATTAATATTTTTAATATATGATATTTTATAGTTAGAAAAATTTTTGTTAGAATATTCTTTACTAATACTTTTATGAATAAAATTATTATATACTGTACAAGAAATTAACTTACCCTCTTCGGCTGGTAATTCTGAAATAATAAAAAAAATACACACATTAATTTTTAAAACAATGAAGTATTTTCTTTATATATTTTGTTAAAATTAAGTTATTTATGTTCTACTAATTATGAATTATCCAATTAAAATACTATAAAATTAAATTGAACATTTAAATATTTCATTAATAAAATATCACACAAAATACTAATAAATGATAATATCTAACAGGATTTCTTTAGTTTTAAATTTTACAGATAGGAGAACAACTTGAAATAAAATTATTTGGTTGTAATGACTGATATAATGTACGCAAAAATAAAACTTTTAAATGAATGTAGCTGCACCATGAAATTCATATTTGTCTGCAATCTAAACATGCATATAAATATGTGCTTGTATATATATCAGTGCTTAAATACATTCATATAATGTATATATAAATATTTCTAATATATATCAAACATTAAACCCATAGAACAAGCATGAAATTTTATAGATTTGGATCGAATTGTTTCCTCTAAACAGTAATCCTGAACAACTATAATGTTGTAACTTTTTGTCTTTACAATAGCTAAAATCAACAGGAAGTTACTCTACGTAAATATTATGTTCATATTTAGGAAGAAAATTTTATGAATATAAACCAAAACTCATACAATGGCTTAATTCAATGCCTTTCTGTCTTTATACTATTTTATTATATTATTGTCAACTAAGGACTTATTATATTAATAGGACTATTATACTGGTGTGCCAATTTTTGTAGAGGAGGAATTCTTATTCAGAATAAATAAATTTTATAAATATGAACCAAAACTCTTTTAAATTTTGCATAAATAGAATCAATTGATAATGATAAAAAGTAAAACAGAATATTTAATATTTAACAGTAATGAAAAGACTTTCTTGAAATAAATAAATCATCAAAATATAAAATTACAAATCAGAAAAAAAAATCAGATTCTTAATTTCATTTCTGATGGTATCAGCTGATTTAAATTATGTGTAATTACTTAATTTCCTATCATAATTGATCATCTCAACATTTTTTTATTCCTTTTGTGATTTTCAGAAAAAAGGAAAAGAAATGAAAGCATTTCAGAATGCATCTGAAAATGGACAATTTTTTATATACATCCCCTGCCTGGCTTATTAAATATATTTTTAAGTACATATTTTATGCCATTGACTTTATCTGATATAAAACATTATTATTTTATAACATTATTTTAACAAAAACATTAGGAATTTTATGATAATTTGTAGTGTATTATCACTTAAAATCAGTCAACTATTTATTTATTTAACTGATCTTAAATAATGGAGCATTTAAATTGTAGCTATAGAACATTATAAATAAGAAAAATTATATCTTTATATAAATATACCGTAATTTAAATTATTTTGACATATATTATTGAAATGCTTTCATGTATTTATTTTCATTGTATTCAATATAGTTCAATTTTTATTATTAATTGCTAAAATATGTTTGTAAATTAGAAAATTGATCGAAAACTTAAAAAGATAAAACTATTTTCCTATTCTCTGCAATTTTTCCTGACAAGGGCCTCTGAAAGACAGCCAGCCAAAAACATTTAAACATTAAAAAAATTTTTTTTGTTGTTCATTTCCTGGAATTAGCATTTAGGTGTGAAGTGGTTGTTTTAGTATATATTTCCAGTTTATGTGCCAGATTTTTATATCTGTGAAGATATATCCAAGCCATTGTATCCATGATATACTTTATATATTCACATTATTATGGTAATTTTAGCTATTACATTGATTTGTATACAATATACAATATAAATATACAATGATATACATATACATATATATATTTACTGTACTTAAACTATTTCATTAGTGTTTATAAGATTTAATAGAAAATTAAATTATAAATAAGTTAAAAACTATTCATTTTAAATTTTACACACCATTTGGACCATATTTCTCTTGATATTTCCGAACTTGTTCTTCTGATAATCCTCTTTCTATATCTGTTCCATAATACTCGGTAATTTCTTTCCAACTCTTCGTATGAGCCAATTCCATACTTTTATTCTTATTTACACAATATATTAAGTTTTAGTAAAAATATAAACTTTACTATAAATAACTCAACAGTGCGCAATCTGAAATTAAGAAAAATATCAATTAATGAATAAATATAACTTAAGTAAAAACTTAACATTTATTTAAAAATTTAAATTAAGAATCATTTATTAAATTTATCATCTAATTTTTTCGTAAAACTTCCTTTTTAAAAGCTAGCATATATGTTAATATTTATTAATATTTCTTTTATACCAGAAATTCTAAAATTAAATTACTGTATAATAAAATTAGTAAAGTACTTTAGTTTACTGTTTTATTAATTTTAATTTTCTAAAAAATTTCCTTAGAAAATATGTGAAATTTTAATATTTGTATACCTGCTTCTGATTATAGCATGAATTTTATGACCCACATCATTAAACAAACTGCCGATGATTAAAAGAATTCATTAATTATTCTTAAATTCATTAATTTGATGATTAATCATTCCATCTAATTTTGCCATTAGTAAGATTTGGCTTCACAAAATATTTTGGAAAAACCAATATTACATAATCTGTTAAAATGCCTGAGATTGAGAACCACTATCATTATTATAGAAGTTAGTGATAAGGGAATTATCACAAAAAAATGTGCTTAGTTATTACTCCTTATTTTAAAATTGTTTGGAAATACTATGGTTCAAATGTTTTATTTCAATTTTTATAATACATTTAAAATCCAGTTTNATGACGTTAATTATTTATAATATTAAAGTAACCTTTTATTTCCTTTTTTTAATTAGGTCCATCTGAAATCATAAAAAAAGGGTAGTAACTTATCAAATAATATCAGGCATTTTGTTTGGTATTTTATGTTAAAAAAATTAAATTTAGCTTAGTTTTTTCTTAATTATTCTTAATTATAAATATTTGATTTTTATTGAAGAAATCAATTTAAAAAGCTATTTTTCTATGTGGTTATATTTTTTGTATCAGGTGTTACATTATTATATTTAGAAGTAAAGCTGTGTGTCTTTCATCCAATTCCAATTCACAACAAAAAAATCAACTCAAAAGGAGATCTGTCTCAAGAAATAGAATCAACATTTCAAGCATAAGACTTATAAATATACATATTTTTAAATTAAATGCCAACTACTAACTTTTCTAAGAAAAAAAAAACAAAAAAATTTACTTAAACAATAATCAAATGCAGATATTGTAAAAGAATAACATTATTATATAGTTTTATTTCATGGACAGAGGGAATAAAATTTGCAATATCAGATTCTAGATTAATTGATACATTTTACACGTTTGCTGGAAGCTAAATAGGTTCAGTGGTCTGAAGATATTACACTTTCAGTGTTAGAGAAGTATATTTTGTTAAGGAGACAAACCTGAGATTTGCAGGTTAAACATATCCGAAACATAAAAACGTGATATATATTTTTTTTAAGTATAATATTTATAAAACAGAAACCTTTGGTTGTATCATGTTTTATAATATATCATAATACTGATGAAATTCTGAATATAGTAATAAGAAACTAACAAGAGCAGATAAGTCACAAAAGAAGAATATGTTTATGATGACTTGATTGTGTAAAGTTTGATTTTTTTACAGAATATTTTTCTTGTTATTGCTTTTTTAAATTCATACCATTTAATATTAATTTATTTCATTTTTTATTAAATACTACATAATATTTTTGGATCCTAAAACTAAGCAATCACTTCTTTTTTTAATTAAATACACAAATTTTGGTTATAGTTACAAAAAGGTTTATTATCCATTCCAGATATTTTTTTTATTTACTCAAGAAAATACACTATTCCTAAATAACAACAGAATAAAATCTGATAAAACATAAGATAAGATATTACAGACGTAATGTTTAATAAGTATCTATCGAACTTTAATTATACTGTATGTTATTAACTTCAATTTACAGAACTTAATACTTAAAAACATTAAAAGATAAAATCAGAAATGAATAAGTATCAATGATCACTTTTTTGTTACAATTACAAATACAGATCTCATTATTGTTAAGTAACTATCCTATAAAAATTCTAAACTTTAAAATTCTTTAAAATGTAAATAATTTATGGTATTTTTGTGATAATAGAATAATATGCAAAATTTTATGCAGATAGAATAAAAGAAAAATTGAAAAGCTGTGAAAATTAACTCTTGAATTAAATTTGTGTTATTCAAATGAATTTGTCAGTATAAAATATTATAGAGAAATTAAATTTTGAAGAGAGGTTTAAGAAAATCTCTTTTTATTAATATAATAAAAAGAGATTTTCTTAATTATAATTTATATTGAGTAAAATCAAATATGGAGAAAGTAAAAATCAATGTTTGATAAACTTTCTAAAGAAGCTCCTGAAAAAGTAAATCCAATTCAAACTTTTTCTTGGAGTAAAAATCTTTTCAGAAGTGTCAAGTACTTTCAGGCTATACATCTATCATCATATTTCTTATGGTGTCAACTTCTGATGACAGGTACATAGCCTGAAAGTGCTTCTCTAAACAATTTTCCACTTAAAAAACAAGCAGTTTGAATAAAACCACATTTCAATATTTAATCATATAATTTAATTCAAAAATTATTTACATATTTATATAATAATTATACTTTTCTTTTATTAACGGTTTCCAGATTTTTAAAATTACTAATTAATATTTTTTTCTATTGTTATTTCTTTTCTTATTATAGTTTGACTTTAGTTTCAATATTTTTTTTTAGATATATCAAATTTCATACCTGTTTCTATATATGTAGTTTTTTTGTTTTGCTGCTGTTTTATAAACAAACATGCTTTCAAAAACAAAAATAAATACTTTTAAATACTTTAAGAATCTTAAATCCAAATAAATTACATAAGATTTCTCAATGCAAGGTTACTTTTGTAACAATATTAATTTTCAAATTTTCTTTTTGAATAAAGAGAAATTTTTATGTGAAAATACAAATATGATTTTTACTTTTCCAGCTGTTGTAACAGAAAGAAAGTATAGAAATGGTCAAAAATGACCTCCCAAGACTTTTTTCACAAAACTTTTTTTTTTTATTTTGAAAAATAAATTCTTAATTATAACATTCGGTGCAATGAATAGTGGTGCTTGCAGACTATAAAAAAGGAGCATGTGTGCATGCAGTATATATAAATATATATAAGCCCCCTTTTTTACAGGTATCCTTTGATTAACACAGTTAATCCCTCAATGCTACCGTGTATATCAAAATCATGTTAAATGTAAAATATCTTTAAACAAATACAGTGGTACCTTGGTACTTGACAAAACAATCACGAGATGTTAGAACAAATTTTCAGTTAATAACAAATATTTTTATTTTAATTTTGTCATGTGTAAAAAAGTACTGTGATAAAAATGATCAACTAATTTAAAAATAAAATGAAAGCTTAGAGCTTTCCTCCAACCAGATGTTTTCTTGCATAACATCTGGTTTGAAATTTTGAAGAACTTATTTATCAACTGATAGTTTAAATTTTCAAATGAAACATATATGCAGGGGTCATACTGCATAGTGCCAAAATTGCCACTTGGTGATATTTTTATTAAAATGGCAATAAAAATATAATACTGACAATTGCGATTGATGATAAAAACCCTACTCTGCTCATTTCAACATTCAGCATGAAATCAAATTACAGATCACACTTCAGGAAAAACAGCAAAATGTCAAGCTTCCATACAATGGGAGTCCTGTGCACCTAGGGATTTCATGACATCACGCGGCAAGTTTGGGCAGAAAAGTAGGAAGTGATGTTGAGAACTGAAGGTAGTTTTGTGCGATGCTGCCCAGTGTTTCCAGATTGGGGATTTTTTATTGACTGACAGAATATTTAAGGAATTTTTGGGATGACTTTCTTTCCACTTTGATCTTTTTTCAGTAGACTAAAACAAAAATTTTGACATGACAGAACATGCAAAACACTGTTTAAACATTGTGATCAAATATGTTATTTGAAATTATTCATTAAAAAATTATTCAAAATAATTCCTATTGCTAACAAGAGGGCCAAATGTTTGGTCTCCGATTCAAACGAAACTTGGTGAGCACAAACCTTAAACACAAGCAGCACCTTGTCCAAATAATAGGATCCCATTTCTCAATCACTTCGAAAAACTGGACCTGTAAAAATTTTGTGTTTAGCTTATTATAAGTCTTTGCAAGTGTCACGCCTCAGAGTGGTGATAGCCAAGTGAATAAGATGCTAGGCACTGCAGCTAGATGATATAGGTTTGAATTTATATCATTGGGCCTCTTAGTGCTCTCAGAGCAGAGAGAGGCTTATTTTACAAAACTGCAATCATCTGACCAAAAAAAAAAACCCTATATCATCTAGCTACAGTGCCTAGCATCTTATTCACTCAGCTAGCATTTGAAACGTCCAAAGACATAAGCCAAACACTAAATTTTCAAAGGCCCATTTTTTGGAAACAGTTGAAAAATGGGTCCTATATTTAGATGAGGAGCTGTTCGTATTTAAAGCTACATACTCATCAAATTTCATTCAAACTGGAGACCTGAACATCTGGTCCTCTCCTCGTGAGTGACAGTTTAACGTATTACTTTTACTTTCCAGATGACAAACTGATGAGGCTACCATGGTAAGATTGCAGATTTGAATGACACTGTTGGAACCTTAACAGAGCTGTAAAGCATGCCCATAGGAGAAAAACGTCAAAGGAACCATATCTCTAAATGAGACCCTTCATGAGATATAGCCCCCACCGAAATCAGCCAAAAACCTACTTCCAGGCACAATAGGGAGTCATACTACATGCTCTGCTAAGCTTATTGCATATTTAACAGTCAGTATAGCACAGTGATCAGACATTCTAATGATATTTATCAGCAAAAAATAAAGAAAAGTCTGACACTCGACCCTTTGCGAGATATTTGCCTCCAAATGTGGAACCCAACAGCAGCAATTCCTGTTGTCATCTTGCTTGTGGACATCATGCTTGCAAGCAAATTATGTTATAGGCAAAGTGATCACTGCCTATAACAAATGATAAATGTAGGAACTTCTACTGACTGAAAACAGTTTTTCTTGTGTACCAGTACTGCTGTCTATTCTCCATGATGCATGGCAGTCAAGGCAATCTATTCTCCATGCTGTTGAACGGTAGTCAAGGCAAGCAATAGCGAGCTGCCATTCTGCATGTAGTTGTGTGCTTCGATGCTCACTATCACTAGCTCCTCAACATCTGGCAAGCCCCACCATACTCCTCTAAAACTATATAACATCAAGTACTCCATAAACAGTCAAGTGGGCTAATCAAAGCCAGTCTAGTCACATGGGCTAAATAGTTAAATCAAGGGGGGCAGAATGAAGCATGTGAACTGCAGGGGGGTACAGAAGACAGGGTACTGAATGGTGACTGTAGACAAGAGTTATAGTCAAGAAAATGGGTTAGGGGCAATTTTAATTAAAAGAACCAAGGGGGCAATAGCTTGTAAAGTTCAGGAATCACTGATCTAATGTTATCTGGTTGCTACTACAAATTTCTTTACAAATCTTAATTAATGACAACAAAATGCTTATACTATAACATAACATTCAAAAGCATACTAATTCATTCTGATTAATAATAATAAAATAAAAAGTATTTTTATTATTTTATTTAACTAGTTGATATATTTAGTTCCAAATGTANAGTTCCTACAATTCTGTATTTTTATTGACGAATTATGTTTTAAATCAAGAAGAAATAAAATTTATTTTATAATCTTATACATTATCAGTTAAAAAACAAAGAAAATAAACTTTACTTTCCAGTTTAAATACCTCCACTAATGTAATTAATTAATGTTTATTAATTAAATTAGCTACTTATTTTCTTGACATTATTGTGGATACCATTTTTATTCAGTTGTTCATAATACTTTTCAGAGTCAATATTTTAAAAAACTAAAAGATAGAATCCCTTTTCAGGAAAAATAAATTTGGTAGAAATAAACAATTAGGAAATGTTTTATATAAACAAGTTCAATTTTGAAACATTTTAACATACAAAACTAAGTAAATAATAAAAGATTGTAGAAAAAATAAGTATTTGCTGATTGATTCCTTGAAACAAACTATTTGAATAAGTACTTTAAAGTATTTTGATAAAATTAATAAAAAAGAAACATTGTATTCAAATAATTTTTTTACGTTACAATTATTGGATAGTAAAGCAAAGAAACACAGCTATATGGGAAAGTTTTAACTATATGTTTAATTTGTTATCAGAGTGACATTATAGTTCATAGATTTAATAATCCTTACTGATCTCTCAAATATTAATCTTTAAAATCTAAACTATTTCATAACTTAAAAAATACTTTATATCTTATCAGTCAATATTGATAAATATCAGAAAATTTCAGATATTAGCATAAACAAGGTAGCAACCAAATTTGTGAACACGAGTGCCATTTTAGTTAATGTTTAATATTAACTTAAAGTTTTTAGTTTAATCATATGATTCATTACAATTTTTATGACCAATAAATACATTTTTACAACATTGTTAATAATTTCAAGAAAATGCTTTATAAAAACAATCATTATACATATATGATTGTTTATATAAAGCATACATATTATATAACAATAATATTCTGTCACTTATGATACAACTGAACTTATCACCATATATATGTATCATTTCAGATCTATTACAGATCAACTGTCCCAATTCACTTATCAGCAATCTAATTTGCAGTATTATGAAATTATTTACCTTTTTACTAAAATTGCAAAATCGAAGATATTAAAATAAAAGTTTATTTATTGTAAGAAATATCCCTGATAAAAGTTTTCATATTGTAGATTAATTTTAATTTGAAAAGTTCAACAAATTTTTGTTTTCTTACAACTTCATTTTAATAATTTCTTGGTAAGAGTTCAAAACACTGTAAAATTTCATAAATTTCCATTTTGAATTATTTCAGATAGTTTTATTGTATTGAATGAACTTTTATGAAACATTTAATTCAAAAAATAACCCAAATTTTCCATTTTTTAGATCTTACTATGTATTTTACTATACATTTTCTCTGAAGACACTAAACATTTTTGTTAGTTCATATAACAAAAAAATATTTGCTACATACAATAATTTTAATAAAACTGAGTGAAGTGATTAAACTGAAAGATTATAAAATTAATTAAACCTAACATGTATTTTATGAAAACCTGTAATAGGCATTATTTAATAAAAAGATATTTTTTTTTATTTATTTAACATTAAAATTTAAATAAACATGATTTTAAATATATCTGTCACTGCTCTAAAACTTTGTAGTTGATATCCATTATCTATCAACGAAAATTTATTTAGTGACCCCAAAAAAATTCATCAAGATTTAAGATAGGAATATAACTTGATAATCTCAATTTTGTACTATAAATAGTAAAAATAATCACTTAATTTAATTAAATTTAAACTATCATATCATTTTTATTGAGTAACTTTATCCCAAATAATAATAATATTAAAATACATATTTAATCAAGTGTTAAACATTTAAATTGATGATAATAGTAAAATAGAATTATTACTATTAAAGAAAGCTAAAGTTAAAAGTAACTAACAATATAATTTAAAAATGGTTCTTATAGTTATTAATATTTTTAATATATGATATTTTATAGTTAGAAAAATTTTTGTTAGAATATTCTTTACTAATACTTTTATGAATAAAATTATTATATACTGTACAAGAAATTAACTTACCCTCTTCGGCTGGTAATTCTGAAATAATAAAAAAAATACACACATTAATTTTTAAAACAATGAAGTATTTTCTTTATATATTTTGTTAAAATTAAGTTATTTATGTTCTACTAATTATGAATTATCCAATTAAAATACTATAAAATTAAATTGAACATTTAAATATTTCATTAATAAAATATCACACAAAATACTAATAAATGATAATATCTAACAGGATTTCTTTAGTTTTAAATTTTACAGATAGGAGAACAACTTGAAATAAAATTATTTGGTTGTAATGACTGATATAATGTACGCAAAAATAAAACTTTTAAATGAATGTAGCTGCACCATGAAATTCATATTTGTCTGCAATCTAAACATGCATATAAATATGTGCTTGTATATATATCAGTGCTTAAATACATTCATATAATGTATATATAAATATTTCTAATATATATCAAACATTAAACCCATAGAACAAGCATGAAATTTTATAGATTTGGATCGAATTGTTTCCTCTAAACAGTAATCCTGAACAACTATAATGTTGTAACTTTTTGTCTTTACAATAGCTAAAATCAACAGGAAGTTACTCTACGTAAATATTATGTTCATATTTAGGAAGAAAATTTTATGAATATAAACCAAAACTCATACAATGGCTTAATTCAATGCCTTTCTGTCTTTATACTATTTTATTATATTATTGTCAACTAAGGACTTATTATATTAATAGGACTATTATACTGGTGTGCCAATTTTTGTAAAGGAGGAATTCTTATTCAGAATAAATAAATTTTATAAATATGAACCAAAACTCTTTTAAATTTTGCATAAATAGAATCAATTGATAATGATAAAAAGTAAAACAGAATATTTAATATTTAACAGTAATGAAAAGACTTTCTTGAAATAAATAAATCATCAAAATATAAAATTACAAATCAGAAAAAAAAATCAGATTCTTAATTTCATTTCTGATGGTATCAGCTGATTTAAATTATGTGTAATTACTTAATTTCCTATCATAATTGATCATCTCAACATTTTTTTATTCCTTTTGTGATTTTCAGAAAAAAGGAAAAGAAATGAAAGCATTTCAGAATGCATCTGAAAATGGACAATTTTTTATATACATCCCCTGCCTGGCTTATTAAATATATTTTTAAGTACATATTTTATGCCATTGACTTTATCTGATATAAAACATTATTATTTTATAACATTATTTTAACAAAAACATTAGGAATTTTATGATAATTTGTAGTGTATTATCACTTAAAATCAGTCAACTATTTATTTATTTAACTGATCTTAAATAATGGAGCATTTAAATTGTAGCTATAGAACATTATAAATAAGAAAAATTATATCTTTATATAAATATACCGTAATTTAAATTATTTTGACATATATTATTGAAATGCTTTCATGTATTTATTTTCATTGTATTCAATATAGTTCAATTTTTATTATTAATTGCTAAAATATGTTTGTAAATTAGAAAATTGATCGAAAACTTAAAAAGATAAAACTATTTTCCTATTCTCTGCAATTTTTCCTGACAAGGGCCTCTGAAAGACAGCCAGCCAAAAACATTTAAACATTAAAAAAATTTTTTTTGTTGTTCATTTCCTGGAATTAGCATTTAGGTGTGAAGTGGTTGTTTTAGTATATATTTCCAGTTTATGTGCCAGATTTTTATATCTGTGAAGATATATCCAAGCCATTGTATCCATGATATACTTTATATATTCACATTATTATGGTAATTTTAGCTATTACATTGATTTGTATACAATATACAATATAAATATACAATGATATACATATACATATATATATTTACTGTACTTAAACTATTTCATTAGTGTTTATAAGATTTAATAGAAAATTAAATTATAAATAAGTTAAAAACTATTCATTTTAAATTTTACACACCATTTGGACCATATTTCTCTTGATATTTCCGAACTTGTTCTTCTGATAATCCTCTTTCTATATCTGTTCCATAATACTCGGTAATTTCTTTCCAACTCTTCGTATGAGCCAATTCCATACTTTTATTCTTATTTACACAATATATTAAGTTTTAGTAAAAATATAAACTTTACTATAAATAACTCAACAGTGCGCAATCTGAAATTAAGAAAAATATCAATTAATGAATAAATATAACTTAAGTAAAAACTTAACATTTATTTAAAAATTTAAATTAAGAATCATTTATTAAATTTATCATCTAATTTTTTCGTAAAACTTCCTTTTTAAAAGCTAGCATATATGTTAATATTTATTAATATTTCTTTTATACCAGAAATTCTAAAATTAAATTACTGTATAATAAAATTAGTAAAGTACTTTAGTTTACTGTTTTATTAATTTTAATTTTCTAAAAAATTTCCTTAGAAAATATGTGAAATTTTAATATTTGTATACCTGCTTCTGATTATAGCATGAATTTTATGACCCACATCATTAAACAAACTGCCGATGATTAAAAGAATTCATTAATTATTCTTAAATTCATTAATTTGATGATTAATCATTCCATCTAATTTTGCCATTAGTAAGATTTGGCTTCACAAAATATTTTGGAAAAACCAATATTACATAATCTGTTAAAATGCCTGAGATTGAGAACCACTATCATTATTATAGAAGTTAGTGATAAGGGAATTATCACAAAAAAATGTGCTTAGTTATTACTCCTTATTTTAAAATTGTTTGGAAATACTATGGTTCAAATGTTTTATTTCAATTTTTATAATACATTTAAAATCCAGTTTAGAATTATAAACTAAGAATGATCTGTTAAATAGATGTAAAACATTTGTTTTAAATACAAGAGTACAGTTTGCTTTACTGCTATCAGCAAAGTGTACTGTTTTTCTAATTATTTTCTAAAATGTATTTATTTCTGAAAATATAAGTTATAATAAATCCCACATGTGACATACTGCACTAGTTAAATGAAAGAGAGGGAAAAGAAAAATATATCAACAAGTTATAACTAAGAAGCAACATATAAAATAGGTATAAGCCTAATGATAATTTATTAATAACTCCATTACTACTGCAAAGTATTTTAAATATGATCTATAATTACTTAGTTATAAAACAATTTGAATGAAAAATATAAATATGTATAAAGAGATTAATATCAAAAGAGATATAAAAATATTTATATATTTCTCTTTTGTATTACATACTAAATATTATACATTAAGCAGAATACATAATTTTATCATATATATCATTAGTCAATCAATAAAAAACTATTAGAGATTAAACTATTAAAGATATTCTGATAATTGAAAATATATA